TTCCTTGTCAGCAAACATACCTGTGTGTCAGCAAAGTCCAACACTCTTGGACGTCCAGGTTTGGGAAGCAGTGTTGTTTTGACTTCACCTTCCAGCCTCCATGTGCTCAAGATGTGGTAGACTGAATGTTGAGGCATGCTAGTCAGATAAACAATCCTATTTATGTCAAGTCCACATACTGTACTCATGTGAATGACAACACATCGAAGATCTTCTGACAATGGAACTCCACGAGTCATGAAGCTCTCAGAAAAAGTGTGATGTTATAATACGGATGAGAACTTGAACAAGAACGAGAAAAAAAATGAGAATGAGTCATGTGACCCATGCTCAATATGGTACCGCAGATCCCGAAACTCCCAAACCTTTGCCATTGATTGATCGATTGCTATCTCAGTTCACAACACTGTCGCTCTTCATCAGCCGCTTGCAGCTCTCGAAATGTCCCATATAATCAGAGCAGAAGGAAGTTCAAATGTTCCAAGTGCTACCCCAGAAGCAACACGAGATGGTATGTATTAGCTGATTGCCACTTTTGTCTTCAATTTCACGGTAGACAGGAAGCTGACCAGAGCTCTAGGGGCAGTCGAAAGGTTGATGCAGGAAAGACAAGCCCTATAGCAGAAACTTGCGCAAATTAGCAATACCAATGAAGACTTCACAGAGCAGAGGGTTCTCCTATTACTTTGCAACATGGTCGTGGACACGCATGACAGGTTATTAGACGTTCAGAAGAGATTTGCAGGCTTGGGGGGAAACTTCGACAATCACGAGTTAATTTTTGCTGAATATTGCAAAGTTGTGGAAGAGGACTTTAGGGCACACGCAGATGCAATCACTGAGCTTTTTGAGAAGCAGAAAGTGCTTGAGGGAATTGCTCTGCAGGTAAGTAACACGTAATATCAGAATTAATCTTGCCTGACGATAATATCCTTAGTACCGACCTGCATCGTTTGCATTGATTGTTCGAAGACACATGGACGAAGTCCGATATTCCATAGCAGCTGGCTTTATGCTGGTTTTCAAGGACCAATTCAAAAATCCAGGCATCATTAACTGGCAGGACGAATCGGAGACCACCGTGCACTGGTCTAACTTTCTCGAGGCACTTAATCGTCATTTCTGTTGTTGTAATCGCATTGTGGACGTCACCCCCCTTTATGACTTCGAAGGGGCTGAGGAGATGGGGAAGGAATATGAGCTGTGCCGTCAACATTCCCCTTTCCATCACCTGGCAGACGACAGCCAGTTTGACCACCTTGGTATTGAGCTTCTCCCAAATCTCAAGCTTGTCAAAGACCTTGAAGGGCAGTTGGAAGAAGACAATTGTTTTCAGTGCCACAAGAATGGGCAGCTCTTGAATGAGGGTAAAGGTGCTTTCCTGGAACGGATGCTGAACTTTTACCTGCCCACATTAATCTGGGGTTTTAACGTTGCCAAGAAGCAGCTTATGTCTGCAGACGCAACTCTCCGTAAATCGCAAGCCAACTACGATAACATGATTAAATTGGCTGATACAGTCCGCAGAGGCCAGCCTATCAGCAGCACAACAGCTGACCCTATACCCGTTGAATGCCCAGTCGCCTCTCGATTCGATGCTGGCACAGCTTTGGACGTTCGAAGGAAGGAACCACGGCGAGGATTTATCTTTAGCAATAGGATACCCTTGGACTCTGTGACGGGGCCCAGGGAACCAAGGCCCAAGGGGAAGCGCAGGGCAGAAGAGGAGGCAAGAGGCCCAGAAGGTCTTCCACAAAGAAGATTTAGAACTAGTACCATCTCTTCTCCCGGGGAAACGTCTAGCATCAGCCATAGGAGGAACTGGCACCGTACGAAAGAGAATGCCCCTTGGTCCCATATAGATGAGTCAGACTTCTTGCCTGATCTGCGCACCTACCCCCTGTCATCCTCGCAGCATAGCACCCCTGCACCTGCAGAACCTCAAGTTTCAATCACTTCAAGTCAGCAGTCAGTGCTACAGAGCGTGACGGGCAGCTTGGACACCCTTCAGGAAACCCTGAGTCGTGATAAACAGTCTTACAGTGACCGTACCAAGGAGTTCAACAACCTCAGAAGATGTATACACATCATACTTGATCCTGGGTTGATGCGAGTAGCAGTGCTCGGAGGCTCGTTCGTACGTCGAGTTGTGAATCAGCTTGCACACAAGAAGCACGAATACACCGACACGGTCCGCGAGACACTGGCCAGTTCCGCGATGTTGATCAAAGAGTCTGGCTTGAGCGGAGACGAAGACGAGCAAGACATCAACTATGACGAGGCGCTGAAAGAAATCGAGGAACAACTCTACTCGAGCAACGATTACTTCGAAACGGGGAAAACAACCACAGAGAAGAAAATCGATTCATTCGTTGAGGACATGGCCACGCCGGTTGCAGGGAAAGTAAACTCAGACTACCACATTCTGTTACAGTGGTTGGATTCGCTGAAACCCATACCGGCGGAATCGACGTGAGTTGGCTTACCGCTGTTAATCGTAAGTTGTATTTGCTCGTCGGACGGACATTGGTCCCCCGAGAACATTCTCTCTGTCTTTATGTGCTCCTGTCTTTGTCAGAATTTGTGTATCAGTAAGACACCGTTGTTTGACACGGTGGTAGCAGTTTGCCTTTATGCTTCCCTTCTGCTTTGTCGCTGTAGGAATACATTGTTCTATGTAGGAGCAGCAACACATATTTATCCTCCCTTCTCGTGTATGTTCGTTGGAATTGGTGTACCAGAGTGCTTATTTATAATCCCCTGTCGTTTGAACTTTCCACTACACCGCACCCGAGCAAAGTTGTAGTCGTCTTAGCTTGTAGTATATACGAATGAATACAAGACAAAGGGGATTCTGTTTATCTTACTGCCTGACCAATTTAGCAAGAAAAATGCAATTTTTGGTTGTAAGCTGTGCGAACTATTAGTATGAGAGGCAGAATGGCACGAGTAGTGTGGGATCGGCTGGATTCTGGAACAGCAGAACAAACCTACTCATTTCGAGCCTTTAAGTTGATCCTGCATCACAAAACCGAGTATATGTGTACCCTGTAAGCACAGTGATTTTTAGAGAGTGTAAAGAGAATTTTATGTGGAGTTTTTTATGTGCTAGATTTTTTGCAATCTGACCCAAGCACAAGGACAAATAGGTTTGTGTGAGTTCTATTTTCTCTAACTCAATACACTCTGAACCATTCTGAAATATTTTTACAGATTCTGAAGCACATTACATAGAGGAAAATTTAGGTAGCTCATTCAATGCAATTGACGGCCTAGTTATTGAAAAAAATGCATTTCTGTTGCCTTTTTTTTTTTTGCATACTACATGTCACAAATACACGTGATTTCGGGTTTTGCCATTACTTTTGCAAATAGCTGTAAGGGCATGGCTCAAATCCTTACTGAAAGAGGATATAATGTTCAAGGATTGAAAGCTGAGTGTTTAGGGTTCAAATGCACAGACATTAGCTTAAATGCTAAATGTTGTTGCAGGAGAATTCTATTCAATGAGCTTGATTTCCGCTCTCAAAAATCTGCTCTCGAAGAATTCATTGAATCACGTGGTCATAAAGCGATTTTTTATCCTAAATACCATTGTGAATTGAATTTTATAGAGCAGTGCTGGGGAAGGGCAAAATTCTTCTATAGGATGATGAAAAGGCCTCATAATGAGGAGGAAGTTATTAAGAACATAAAGCTAAGCTTAGAATCTGTTACATCTGAACAGTTTCAAAAGTAAGTTGTCTTTGTTACGCTACATCATTACTTACATAATCTACAGGTTTGCCAATCGTTCAGCACGGTTCATGGATTGTTATAGAAAAGGCTTAAATGGCAAACAAGCAGTATGGACTAGTAGGAGGTATCATGGACACAGAATTGTTCCAGACAAAATTATGGAGGAGTTGGACAAGTATGGAATTTAAATGTACTTATATTCAACTATGGGCAAATACACGAAAGGCACAGTAGCACCAGTATAGATTCCTCACTCACTACATCCTCCTACACTGTCCAAAAAACATGTAGGAAAATCTCGTTGAGAATGTCTGTAGGTAGCTCATTGATTCTGAATGTATGGCTTGAACTTCAGTCAAAAATGCTTACATCTATATACTCACTACGACCGCGCTAAGATTTTGGCCGTCAGGGTCCTTCCTAAAATGGTAAGCGAAGGTTGTGACTGTGATGTGACAACCTTGTCGAGTTTATCGTGCCTCTACCTTATGAATGCAGGTTGCTTGCGCGGAAGTTGAGTAAAAATCACGTGGCGAGTTTCTTCTCACAGTTTGGTCGGTAGTCGAAGACTCGAAGTGACGAAGTCAATGACTTTCACTTTGCGGTAGTAATCATGATCTTTTCTCACTCTTTGAAGTCCTTGGAGCTCGACGGCTCGTTGTCTCAAAATTTCGAGTGGACATAGCAACTAACTTAAACACATCGTTGTCCTCCCTCTCTGATTAACCTTTTACAACTGTTGCTACGTATATTGATCTGTGCTCTTCTGCGATCACGCTGGTACGAATTCATTATTCATTTAACAGGTCGGTTTCCCTTCATTGCCACAGTGTTAGGCGTGTTCTCCAATTCGTGGAACATCTCAGTTGCCATGAAAATACCATCAGCTTTGATCGACCCAATACATCGCATGTTATGTAACCGTGTTGAAGGCATACGGAACAGTAGCGTTGAGCAATTGAGGTTGACAGTGAGTTCCATCATGACCTTGATGCTGATTCTTATTTATTCTTAGACGATCACGGAGAACAGACGTTAGCGAAGACCGAGGAACAGGAAGAACAGTACCTATCGTCTCATTTCTAACTGAGAAATGGTACGTATTTGCCTAAAGTATATGCATCCGACAGTGTCATTCGGTGTCACACTTGGCGCATATGGCAAATAGCAAATGCAAAGCGGCATCTGTTAGCCTTCAGAAATCATTCCTAGGCCCAGAATTAACGGGAGAACATGCAGCGAAATCGAAGGCCTCGACTGTATCAAAGAAGATCAGCACCACTGATTCCCCACTCTGGTAGGTGCCCAGTATTCGCCCTGATGAACTTAGTTTCTTCAACTTTTCCCAAAGTCAAGACGGTGCAAATTCCATTCACGACCTGCATAGTAGAAGCATCTGATACCTCTTGACTTTTATGCTGTTTTTTGTTCGGGTGTCCAGGATTGATCAAAAGGAGTTTGCTTCTTCCGAATGGCAATATTCGGCAGTTCCGTCGTCGGCGTCTACGAAAATAGCATCCGCATATGGCAATGCGTGGCTATGCACTTTTGATCCCTTGTCGGTTCTCATGCGTATATGTAATTGGGTTGAAGATACATGCGGCGACAGCGGGACATCACTTATTCTCCGTGGCCTGATCTTGATGTTGACCGCCCATTCTTATAAGCGATAGGTTTCTTGTTCCAACCCAATCTTTTCCCACATCCCCGATATCTTATACACATGACCCTTTTTCCCATTTGACTTCCTTACCCTGCCTCAGTCGTGGTGGACGTTCACTTAGATATCCTACGTGTGCTTGAAAACTCAGGGATCTATCTGGATGGTACGCTCCTTGCACACACTTCTCCATAGATATCTCTCCGCATTCTGCATTGTACTTTATGCATTTCTCCCATCCTGTCGTGCTCGTATTAATATTCTTCCGACCGAGCGCACCCTCTACAACGCAACGGATCCGATGATACAATGGACCCCTTCTCTGGACGATTCCGACACTTGGTCACCTATTAGTGCAGATGGATTCAGTGGCGTGGAGACGACTAACAGCACCGCAACAGCAAGTTTTACACTTCAGGGTAAGCTGACGTTGTGTGGTCTACCATCTGATTTTCACGTGTTTTGTACTGTAGGAGCAGACGCAACGTTAATCACTTTAGATCAACCTAACTTTTACTCTGTCCTTGTAACGGTTGATACAAGACAATTACGCGTGAACCTCTCCGATGACCACTTTCAACGAGGCGTAAAGATGACCCCGATACCCATCGACAATACAGGAGTTTCTTTACCAAAAAACCGTTCAATTGTGATTCAGGAAGACACAAGTCCCGGCATGAATAATAATGGATGGAATTTGCTAGGAATCAGGTATTGACATATCTTTGACCGAAAAGACCAAAGCTTAGTTTTCTTTAGTATTGCACCAGCCTTCGTTGTTTCTACTTCAACGCAACCGATAACGACGCTACCTGCGATCCCACAAGAATCCGTAACATCACCTACGCAAGAACAATCCACGACACCATCTGTACAGGTACAATCCAATGGATTGTCTGCAGGAGGGAAGGCTGGTGTTGTGATCGGAACCCTGTCCGGTGTCTCACTTGTTGGACTGCTCTTTGTCTGTCTTCGTCGTCGCCAGCGCCAAATGGCAGAGGTCGCGCCTGAGCCGTTAGTGATCACTCCGGTGGCACCGCCCAGGAGAGATCGCTCGCGTTTTCAACGAATATATTCGGAACGTCTCCCGCACTTTACAGCCCCATCCTCGATTTGGCCGACCAGTAACCCTCGAGCCAGCACTTGGATCGATTCACCTAATCCAGCTATCCGCCAAGTACAACGAGAAAAGCTTACGCCTTTACCACTTCCTGCGATTGCGCCACAAGTTTTAGCTCCCTCGCCACCAAGACATAGCCAATCACGTCGAAACAGATTGTCGCAGTTCTTCGTCGCAAACCCATCGAGTCATTCGAGTCGCTCGGCTCGGTCACTTTCGTTTAAAAATCTGCGGATCCTGCCAGAACGCGTTATTTCGGAGAAAGCCGATCCAGCTCTGGTTAAGCCAACACCATGGACCCCCTACGTGGGCGAGAAACGCTCACCCGAGATGCAGGAAGTTAGGCGAGCGGAGAGGGGTAAGAAGGGAGCGGTAGATTTTGAAATTGATCCGGCTCCGCCAAGAGCATCGCGTAAACGATCATTGCGTCGCTTCTTTTTCACAACCAACCCAAATCCTTCGACTTCTTCCTCCTCTTCAGCATCATCTTCACAAAGAATTAGAAACTGGAAAAGGAAGGCAGTGGCAGACCATGTGCGAAACCAGATGCAACAGACGCCAGCAGCACCACAGCTTCTTGATTCAGTTACATACCCTTTGACCGCCCCGACTCCCCCTCGTCTACCTCCGGACACTATCCATGAAGAGCTGGAACCGTCGACTATGAAATTACCAACATGGCAAACTCAACCTGAGAAGCATAGGAGTAGCGGGCAGAGTCAGACACGATTCGTCACAGCCAATCCTAGTCCGTCCATGTTAGACCTCTATATGCAACGTTCGGAAACGGGATCTGTATCAACAGATATCCCTCCACCCAGGAAGGATAAGGGGAAAGCGAGAGCATTCTAGCAAGCTTCGCTTTGTACACATGTTATATTTAATTGCAATACATTGGACTGTAGCACACGGATCTTCATCAATATTAGCATTGTACTTGTCTACCATCTCACGCCTGCAATTAGCTATGTATTAGGTCATATATTATTGACGCACGATGTGAATGAGAGTAACAAGGTTCTAAAACGTATTCGTGATGAATGTAAGGGACCGAATGCTTCAAGATCCATCATCGTCATCCCAGTCCTCTTCATTATCCGGGAGCAATGATGCGGCAAATACAGCCAGGATGACCAGCCCAATGAGAACGAAGTAAACAAGTAGTCCGTGAAGTAGATTATGTTCAAGCGAAGCTGCAAATAATGAAGTTGCTGCGGCCGGCCCGACCGCACGTATCGCGGCTGTAACAGCTGCCACGAGACCATTCGTAGCACCTAGCGACCGCCTATTTGGAGCGGAGAGTGTAACATAAATGAAAGCGCATCCTAGAAAATTCGTATATATCAGCCTAGTTTTTTCAACTGAGTATAAAATCGTTATACCTCCACTCATGTCGGCGAATATACACAGAGATAACTGGAAACAGAGAGCAATCCACGTGATTGCACTTTTGCCGTAAAGTCGAGCAAGAAAGTTGATCATTGGAAACATCAAGAAGATTGGAATGGTTGCGAATTGTGTTAACATGAGCAATGTTTTTGCGCCCAGCCGAGCGTGGAATTTTGCGAAGAAAGCTGCATGGAATATACCCATGAGCATACCGTATAGACCAAGACACAAGCCTATGGTTGGTGGTGAAAGTCCGAGACCACCAGAAGGAATTGAGGTCGCGTAGAACACTGGTTCAATGGCGAGAAATGCAATATCAATGAGCGAGAGGAGAGAGTAATTCAGCACGGCAATGAAAACGCGACGTGTAAGTATAGATCGAAGCGGCGGTGCGGCTTCATCCTCCGCTTCGTGAATATTTCTCAGTTCGTCTTCCAGTGCTGAACGTGTTGGATGACCTAAAAAGCTACCAGCCATTGAACTGTGACGAAGCAAGGGTGTTCTAGGAGGTCGTTTCAATTGAGGTCTTCTTTTCCTTGTCTCTCTTAGAGAAATTAAAGTCACAACCAGTGACGCCAGAGGGAAAATAGCAGCAACAAGGCATGGAAGGAAGTAAGGATATGTCTCCCAAAACGGAGAATTGCCGAACAAACTTGGAAAGCGCTCTGCTGGCCGCGAGAGCGCACCACCGATGAATGGCCTTCCGACAGGGTGCATTTAAGGTCAAGTATTATCCGCGTATGAGAGCTACGCATTCACTTACCCGAGCGTTGCGCCAACCGACCAGACAACTGGTATATATGCGAATGCTTGCGCCATATTAGAAGGGTCAGTCATCTCTCCCATCATACCCTTGATGACGCCAGAATATCCATTGAGGAAACCTGCTAAGCAACGGCTATAGAGGCATGTTCAGAATTATAAGGCCCATCTCGCATGGGGATTATAATCATACCTTAAAGCAAGACCTAGAAAGGTTTTCGATAACCCAAAACTTACCATAGATACAGACAGACCTGCAAAGCCTAAGAAGAGAACAGGACGTCTCCCCACAACATCAGATAGATGACTCCAGAAGAGGACAGTCGTTGCCTCGCATGCAAAAAATAACGATTCCTGAACAAGATTTCATCTCGTATCGTACTGTAAGAGCTTCTGAGGAACGTTACATACTAAAAGTCCAGCATAATATCCAGCTCTGCGTTCGTCTCCTTTTATTACATCCAGGTGTTGTATGAGCTTGAGAAACAGTGATATGAGCAAATTTCCAGACGCGCTACCATTGCATGGTGCCTGCTCACCTCGTTAATAAACGGATAGATCGACTGGGAAGTTACAGGTTCGGAAAGCTGGAGAAACAGGAGTGTGGCTATTTGCCATTTTGGCAAGGGAGTGGGTGTTCGCGCGGGAGGCTTTCGCGCCTGGTCTTGTCGGATTAGAGGTGTGCGTTCGGTCGATTCGGTACGTAGAGGCGTGGTCGACTCATCCCGAGGACGAGAACTCCTCGCATTCTCATCCATCGGAAACAGCAATATAGCATGTACCAGAATGAGGGTGGGTGTAGATATGCAAGTACGTTGCAGGGTAAAGATAGCGCATTGCAAAGCGATGGGCGCGAACCCCAGACCGGCTTTGCTACTTGGACCTCTCTTTTCGTCCACATGGGGCAAGTATTCGTCTTATTCGTTGGATAGAGTGGCGGCGGAGGGGAAAAGTCGCAAAGAATCATTGTCATCGCAACATTTTCGTCTGAAATGACCTACGTTTGCTCCATGTAATTCGCATGAAGCGACCATTTAACCCAGGTTGTCAGCATTCGATACCGCTAGACTCACTCATATACACTATTACCATGATGGGCAAGTCGCTAACATACCTTCTAGTGCATAATCGGCACATTGCACAGGTTAGCTTACTCGATCAGTTATTCAGCACTAAAAACGAGAATGCGCTAAGTAACAACGCGTTCCCTGGTACTCAGCTTGATGTGGCGACAACAGCTTTGTAGTGTTGGTCGGGAGGTTCTCCTTATTGAGCGCAGGCTCGGCAGCGTTCATTCGGCGTTTGAGCCGTGCGCTAACGTGCGTACATCAGTGAGTGTGTGAATTGAGTATTTAAGAGACTTACTTGGACAGTTGTCGATACCTGGAGTTTTAATACTCAGTGCGCTTTAGGTACTGCGAGCAGAAGTTTGAAACGTTTGTCTCAAACCCAGGTGATGTCCTAATTTTAGCTATGCACGTGACTTTCATCCCAATTCCGATCAACTTCCGGCCGAACTTGAAGGCTCTACCAGACCCTCTACAGGCGACTTCATAGTCTGTAGCAACGCTTCGACGTGAATGCTGGCAGTAGGCTGTGCATCTTCTATGTGTGAGTCGTGGAGTCGGATCACCTCTATTGTATTAGGCATATCCCGGTCAAGCACTTTGTCGTCCAAGAATAGCCTGGATAGCTTCACACAGCTGGGAAACTATTCATTAAAAGTAGCGAGGCTGTGCTCCTTGGAAGTACCTTACTCGTGTGCGGGCTCCGGATGCAGGATGATTTCGACTGCGGTGGAGTAAAGGTGAAAGTTGCTAAGGCTGTCCTTCACGCAATTCACAAACCGTGATAATTAAAATCGACTTCTTCAAGCTAAATCCATAAAAGCCGTTCTGCCGTGTATTGCTCTAAACATAGGTGAGGATTGGCGAGAGACTAGAAGGAAGCATTACAAGTGATACAACTCATTTCTGGAATGACCGGCGTACTCCGATCGCGTGTTATTCATTTGTAATGCATCTATTAGGTACCTACTACCAGGGCTACAATGTTGCCGGCAAGTGAAAATGGAGCATCGTGATTCGTGAATGCGGTCCGCTGTAAGAGCCTGTACATTGTCAGGTGGTATGACTTTGTTTTTTTATGCACAGCATTTCGGTGTTAATACAGAGTGATAGGATATTAAAACTATAAACTCCAGACCATACTTGGACCATAACTAGTCACTGCAATGCACTGTCTGTGCCTAGGGAACCATGTGAACGGGAATAATAAATCCTGTTGTGTACAGTGCTGCATAGATACTATTGCCATTGTATGGGGAGATAGGACAGGCTTATGTCCTGAACAATGGTCTAATGACTCAAAGCTGGAAGAAATAATATGTGTATCATAATAGTAAGAGTATAACTTTAAAGTAATAACTAGTCACAAGTACAGTTATATTGCTACTGTATACAGATCCCCTACATTGTTACCCTTCCTATTATGGCCCTCCTTTTAGACATGGGTGCAATGGTTATTTGGATACCCAGGTGACCCTGTGACATACAATGCTCTATCATGATGTACAATTAAAATGAAATAGGCATCATGCAGATACAAATTTTATACAAATTTTTGTATGACGAATCATCCGTACTCCTCGAGAGAATGCTGATGAAGGCGTCAAGTTGACGCACCCTTGGGCCGACCATCTGAAATGAGATACCAAGCATGCAGAGGCGGCCAGACAGCAGGGGAAATTATATCATATCCAATTAGTATTGAAATTTCGTCGATAAAAAAGCATATTGTGCAATGTGGGGTGACACCATATGCAACCTTTCAAATTCACTGTCTTCTGGACTGGCCTGACGGTTATGTGTAGACCAAATACGGTTCTAAACGATTACTAATTTGCGCTCATGTCAGTGTCAATCAATACACCACACGAAGACCCCAAGTGGTGCGAAAATCGAAATAAAAATAAAAATGCATTGGTGAGCGACTCGCTCAACGTACAGTTCCGGTATTAGTGCGCATTCTTATTTACCTGGCTGACTAACACTGTAATGATAACTAGATTAAAGCCTTATTTTATATCTGTGGATTAAGCACTGTCCAGTGTCGTTCCCCAAAGTCATAGAATCATTGTTTTCTGAGTTAGTGTAATAGTAGCCTAATATATTTTTGTCTATACCGTACCTGTAACTATTGCTCAACTAAGAAGGGCTAAGGAAAGTTTGACAAGCAACACTTCTTTATTTATAACATTCGAAGCTGATGTATAGGAAAAGATCGAAGCTCAATGATCGATCAAAAGCAAACGTTACTAGCCCGATCACGTCCGGAGTTGATATGCTCAGATAGAGTATCCACAACTTCCATTCTTTTACCCTTCAACTCTCACTAAAGCACTAACCTTCTCCAGTGTTTTGTACACCCCTCTTTGTATAAAGAAAACATTATCTACAAATGCAAAGACCAGATTTGCGTGTAACTTTGTCCTCGCCACTATCAGAAGCCGCCAAGGCGCCAGAAATTGATGGCTTTCCACGAAAGGAAAGTTCCGGTAGGTCCATCCTACCGAAGGCTGTCTCTGTATGCGTTTGTGTGTAATATTTCTTAATTTATCAAATCCCGAAGAGATGGGAGATGAGGAAATGGATAAGATGTAGAGGACATCTTTCGAATCGGAAACGAAATGATCATCTTTCTTCTGAGTTTGATTCACTTGAATTTAGTCGAGATAGATTATATTATTGTCATGTTATCATAATGTACTGTTCGTAAATACAAATATGTTGCCTTTGAGATGTCTCTGGTGACTGATATCCAAGGTGAAGAGGAGAAATCAGTGAAATTACGAGAGTGTCGTTAGAATAGGAAAGCGACTTAGTATCCATACTGAGAGGCCGGTGCACTGTGATGCTACTATCATCTGGATCAAAAAAAGGTTGATAAAGTGTATTGGGTTTCTGTGATGTTGTATGGTTCTTGCTTATGCAGCCGGGTTTCTGTTTCGCCTACTATGACTATCTTCGAGCGCCTATCTTGTCGTCATCCATCATCTAGCTATAGATATGACTTGGCCCATGTAAGAAAGGTCCATCTAGGTACCGAAGATGCGCGCGCCAATCTTCGGAATACTGATATACGGTATGCGGGGAAGCGCTAAGCGCCCTATTCTGAGGAAAAGACGCCCATTTAAATGCCATGTGTAGTATGCATGGCTTATGGCTACTGGCATCGGTGGCACTGTCAGGGCGCTCCGTTCAAACTAGGAGTACAGTTGAAAATATCTTATTGCATAACGTCGGGAGAGGCCTCAGACCTATGCAATATGAGCAATATGCATTATGGTAACCGTGCGAAAACATTACTTAATTAGGAACGCAAAGTTCGATATTACTTTTCAATTTATTTGAAGACATATACACTATGACAAGAAAATAAGCACATATTTAGAGCATCAAGAAAGACAACCAAGACAATGACAAGTATAGTAAACATGTATATTACTGTAAAACTCAAGAAATAGTTTGTAATACAAGGAAATACAGTCAGAATCTGTAGAAACAAAAAGATAGAAAAAGCTAGTCAATGCAAATAACTTTCCCCCACATATCATGAAGAGATCTTTGCTGCCCTATCTTGGTCTTGTGGCAGCATTGAAGACATTGTAAGCAATGAAATGTCAATCAGAAACATTCTTTTTGTATTAAAGTATGTCAGAGAACAATATATGAGGCTTCTGGGTACAAAAATCACAACAGTAAGCAGTCTAATTTCCCAAAATGCTCAGAATTTTGCATAATTTTCTCACAAATCTTGATGCAATATGCAATAGACTATTTTTGTGCATAATTCCCTTATCCCAAGCTGGGATTAGGCAGAAAGCTATGCAATATTCAATTTATGCATTATAATGTGATGCAATAAGGTATTTTCAACTGTAGATGGGAGATATAGCAATCCAAAGGTCAAGTATCTTCAACAGATGACTTTAACCTAATGCGATTCCCAGACCGTTCAGTCAAGCAACCCAGAAGGAGATTGAAAAGTTCCTCGAGCATGATGTTGTAATTCACATATGGCCGCCTGCCGTTCTAGGTAATCGCCTGGCTTTGAAGCGAATGAAACATAGAAACCATCCAAGGGAAACCGAGTTTGTTTGACCCTCTGTTTCATAGTTCCGAATGGAAAGAATAAAAAGTCAATGTATCATTGCTAGCATCACAATGTGGTAGTGTGGTGTTGCATTTGTATACTGCGGATATATCCGCTCTTCACCCTGGTTTTATCATACAATCATACGTTCGCCGAGGATACATCATACATTTCCGGTGATTAAAGGGAGAGCGTGAGGAAAGAAAGAGGCTTCTGAGTATTGAGTTGATGACTTCTGAGCGGCCGGACATACATAGTGAGATCTAGATCTAGTCACTGAAGGTCTTTGTAGTCATTGTAGCCGAGTCCTTTTTCTTCTTCCTTGCTGTGAGCGAAAGTATCGCAAGTAGGCGGCTGCGCGACTTACACATTGTTGACTTTTTTCACAGGCCGTATTGCTGAGAGAACGCCCAGTGGGAATGTGACTGACAAACTAATAACATCTTGACACGAGGAAACTGCGGAAAAATTAATATTGTGCCGACAGCTGAGCTTGAAAAACCTGGTGGACTGGATGGAAAACTTCCTTAGAATTGCAGCGCCTCGCCAGAAAAGTGAGTGAGTGAGGTGAGGCCAATTTACTGGCCAAGAGAAGAGAAGGAAATAAGAAAGACTCCGATCCGATGAATCGCAATACAATTTTCAGGAGTATTGTTAAAAGCAGTAGCGCGGTTCGCCGAGATTTGTTTTGAAATAAATTGCTGGTTGGTTGTAGTCCAGCCAGCATTGCAGCGTGAAAGGGGTTTGTTTGTCTGGCCCCTTGGCCTAAGGGGGAGATAGGCATATATGGAATAATATAATGAAAAGTACCATTGGGGTCTTTCACCTTGGCAGGTATGTTTTTATGTGGCGACAAAAGTACGCCCTTACGAGGCGGTGAACTATCAAGATTTTGGAAAATGCTAGTGATCTTTGAGGAGTATGTCCACATCCGAGATTCCTGCCTACGGGCTGAGAGACCATCGGGGTTGCCGAGAGCGTCGTCATCGTACCATGATCCGCGAAGCAGTGCATCGCCGAGACGCTTGAGAGAGCGTGGTAGGAGAAAGAGGGAAGATGACTATTCAGGTGCTGTGGGAGTGACTTTCTACCAGAGAGTTCGAGAATTTCGTAAGAATAGGATAGGAGCCAATCTGTGAGGGATAATAATAAATGGCAGTGTGCATTGGAATGTACTGCGTGTATCTATGCCATAGTAAGTTCTTCCTTCCAAGCATAGGATAAGCACAGGAAGAAGGAAAGGTTGGAAACATATGTGCATGGAGGTAACAAAGGCCAAAGGGGGAAATGAGGGCTTTAATGTAAGACAGTGGGGAGGATAAACCAAGTTAGGAAAAAGGATGCGCGTGACGAAAGCGTGCATCGTGATTGACGCGACGGATGTAATTGTGTTGACCCCGAGGCCCGGTACTGCACAGCGGGCACTAGGCTCGCCGACATCGGGCGACAGTCGGCAACGCAGTAGCAGCGACGACGAATGACGGTGACAACTGACAAAAGTGCAGTGCTTTGGACAAGACGTGCGGCCTGGGCTGGGAGGGGAGAAAGAAAGGCCTGCTTTCCGACGGCTAAGAATAAATGATGACATAAGTCTTCCTTGGCTGCAGCGCCTCTCCATAATAGGTACACTGCCTCGCCCTCGTCATAAACGCCCCATCCATGCACTTTCCTTGTCTCTCCTTCCGACGCTCCCTCTTTCTCTGCTGCTCGCACTATCCAGTACTCTACGCTCCTCCGTCGTCCATCTGGCGGTCTAATACCTGTTTTTGAATCCGAAACGGTTGTACGAAGCTGGAGGACTTTGCTGCACTTGCGCCGTCTTTCTCGCGCTTTCTTTTTTTCATTCACTTCGGATATTCATTTGTTAGAGAATGTCCAGCTCGCAGGACGGACATGCGAATGATCCCGGAAGTCCGGCCGAGATGAACACAATTCCGATAATCGATGTAGTCGGTGCAGATGACGATGAAGATAGTGCTCGTCCACCTAACGCGTCAGGCGGCAATTCGAACACTGCTCAACATTCCCATGGATCGCGCCTCACAGACGCTGAGGGGCGGGAAACCGGCCATACCGGGACGGGTTCTGATGCGAGTGCAATGGGTGTGCCACAGATACACACCGACGAAGCAACGCCTCCACCCTCGGCAGGCGCGTCGCCGACACACTCCCAGCCTCCCGGCATTCTACTGGACGTGCCATCGAACCGTGCACGTTCCGGATCAGGGTCTGGGAATTCGGTTACCTTTTCCCTGCATTCACGTTCAGCCTCCCCCTCCCCCTCACGAGCGGACGACTCTTCAATGCTGACAGCTCCACCGTCTCCAACATTGTCAACTCGTTCAACACCTTCGTCGACTGGGCACAACTTCCAGACCTCGATTGCTCTGAGGGAAAACAGGCCGGATGCGCATAATGATGGCATTGGCAGTTTACAATTACTCCACCCTGAGTCCTCAAATCATAGCCATATGAGAAGACCTAGTGCAGGAACTTTCTCGTCAACGCTTGCTGGGTCGGAGGGCGAACCAGGTAGTCCAAATAGTCCGACGAATAACGATCAATCACACCTGGGTGTCGAAAATAGCATTGATGGGTATTCCCCCACACAACAAAGTCATTCTCGACGTACTAGTATTACGATTGCTGTACCTAACTCACCAAATCCTGCAGATGATCATGCTTCGTCTACCAAACCGAAGAAGGTCCTTGAGGAAGAGGAAGATTCAGACACCGAGCCAGTGAAGAAGGTCGAACTCGAAGACAAGGATGGCCCAGTCGATACAGGTCCATTTCCGAAGGAGTTTAGTCCCTTTAAACTTGCGCGACTTGTGGATCCAAAAAGTCTACAGTCCCTCGAGGCACTCGGGGGCGCTAAAGGATTGTTAGACGGGCTTGGTACGGATCCGAAACATGGTCTATCTAGTCAAAAGTCTGGGGACGGGCCTTCATCTTCGTCCACTGCATCGTATGAGGAGCGACAACGAATATACGGCCCCAACGTCCTACCAACTAGGAAGAGCAAATCCCTTTTACAACTCATGTGGATTGCATTGAAGGATAAAGTTCTTGTACTGCTTTCGATAGCGGCTGTCGTCTCGCTTGCACTTGGCCTTTTCCAGGACTTCGGTACACCTCGAGAGAGCTTCTCATGTGGCAACGGGCAGACATGCACTTTACCGCCTGTCGACTGGGTGGAGGGTGTGGCAATTATGGTTGCGGTCTTAATTGTCGTGCTCGTAGGATCGTTGAATGATTGGCAGAAGGAAAAGCAATTCAAAGTTCTGAATGACAAGAAGGAAGACCGAACTGTCAAGGTCATCCGAGATGGTAACGAGAAGGTCATTAACGTTAAGGTGTGTACAATAGTGTTTGTCTATTTTTAGGTATGTACTTACTGTTTTATCCAGGAATTGGTTGTTGGAGATGTTGCCCTCCTTGAACCTGGTGAAATTGTCCCCTGTGACGGTGTATTCCTCTCAGGCCACAATGTCAAGTGCGACGAATCTGGCATTACTGGTGAAAGTGACGCAATCAAGAAGCTCACTTACAAAGAGTGTATTGAGGCCCAAACCCATGGTCAGCTTAACGCACATACAGATTGCTTCGTTATCAGTGGCAGCAAGGTCCTTGAGGGTGTCGGCAGCTATGTCGTCATTGCGGTCGGTGTGAAGAGCTTCAATGGACGTATAATGATGGGTTAGTTTAATCTCACTTGACTTATTTTAACCCGAAATTAATCTGATTTTACAGCTTTACGAACGGACAATGACAATACACCTCTCCAAACGAAGCTTAACAACCTTGCGGAGTTAATTGCCAAGCTTGGAAGCGCGGCTGGTCTCATCCTCTTTGTTGCACTGCTCATTCGGTTCTTTGTGCAACTCGGGACTGGCACTCCTGTACGGACAGCGAACGAAAAGGGTCTCGCATTTGTACAGATCCTGATTATCTCGGTTACTCTCATTGTCGTTGCGGTTCCGGAAGGTCTACCTCTGGCTGTTACCCTGGCCTTGGCATTCGCAACGAAACGGATGACTGCAGAAAAGCTTCTTGTCCGTGTTCTTGGAAGCTGTGAGACGATGGCAAATGCCAGTGTCGTGTGTACCGACAAGACAGGTACACTCACACAGAACTCGATGACTGTCGTTGCAGGTTCTGTTGGCATCCGTGCAAAGTTTGTACAGCGCCTCGCAGAGAACAGTGCACGAACGAATGTCGGAGAAGAACCTGGCGTGAAAGAGACACCCGAGCAAAAGGAACGACGACGAAAACACCCCGACGACTTCTCGATTGACCAAACTGAACTCGGGAAAGTTATGACCCCTCAACTAAAGCGCTGCTTCAACGAGGCAATCTGTATCAACTCGACTGCCTTTGAGGACGCGGACCCTCAAACAGGGGAGCGTGTATTTGTCGGAAGCAAAACCGAGACAGCGCTTCTTCATTTTGCTAAAGACCTTGGTTGGGCTGATTACCACCAGACGCGTGAATCTGCGGATGTCGTACAGATGATACCTTTTAGTTCCGAACGGAAAGCTATGGGTGTTGTCATCAAGGTTCGCGATGGTCAATGGCGTTTGTACTTGAAGGGGGCTAGCGAGATCCTAACGAAGAAGTGCACGCGACATGTTGTCGTTGCCAGGCCCAATGAGGACGTTCAAGGTAATGAGGATGACGAGATCGAGACAAAAGAGATCGATGAGATCGCGAAGGACAATATTTCGAGAACCATCATCTTCTACGCGAACCAGACGCTCCGTACGATTGCGCTATGTTACCGTGATCTGGACTCATGGCCGCCAAAGGGTCTGGATGTCAAGGATGCTGATGAGGTGCGTCTACACCTTATGCATGTGTGCTTTCTCTGATTTATAATTTTCCAGGTTCCATATGATTACTTGGCTACTGATTTAACGCTCATCGGAATCACTGGTATTGAAGATCCGCTGCGAGAGGGTGTTACAGAAGCGGTTAAGCAATGTCAGAGAGCTGGCGTCACTGTTAAGATGTGCACCGGTGACAACGTCCTGACGGCACGCTCCATCGCTTTGCAGTGTGGTATCTTCACTCCTGGAGGTATCATCATGGAAGGTCCAGTCTTCCGCGAACTAAACGACCGTGAGATGCTTGAGGTTGTTCCGAGGCTACAAGTTCTGGCACGTTCATCTCCGGAAGACAAGAAGATTTTAGTTGAGAAGTTGAAGGAGTGTGGTGAGATCGTCGGCGTTACAGGCGATGGAACGAACGACGGTCCGGCACTCAAAACGGCACATGTCGGTTTCTCCATGGGTATTGCCGGTACGGAAGTAGCCAAGGAAGCATCGGATATCATCCTCATGGACGACAACTTCGCCAGCATCGTGAAGGCAATTATGTGGGGGCGATGCGTGAATGATGCGGTACGCAAGTTCCTGCAATTCCAGATAAGCGTCAACATTACGGCCGTCATCATTACCTTCGTTACTGCCGTCGCAAGTGTAGAAGAGGAAAGTGCCCTTACTGCCGTGCAATTGCTGTGGATCAACATCATCATGGATACATTTGCTGCTCTGGCTCTCGCAACAGACCCTGCAAGCCTCTCATTGCTTGATCGCAAGCCAGAGAGGAAGACTGCACCGCTTTTCAATGTTGACATGTACAAGCAGATCTTTGGACAGTCCGTTTACCAGACTGTTATCATCCTTGTATTCCATTTTGCTGGAAACAGCATCTTCAACTTCCATTCAGACCCGAACGACGAGTCCGTCCAGATAAACAATGATGCTAAACTGAGCACTCTCGTCTTCAACGCCTTTGTCTTCGCACAGATCTTTAACTCTATCAATTCGCGACGGATTGATCAAAAGAAGAACATCTTTGAAGGCATTCTGCGTAACTGGTATTTCATTTCCATAACGCTCCTTGGTGAGTTCCACTTTGTTACACTGTACTGTTGAAATGTCACTAACTTAATTCGTTCAGAAATTGGTATCCAGATTCTTATCGTCTTTGTTGGTGGACATGCCTTCTCGGTAACCAGAATTAACGGAATGTTTTGGGGAATCTCTCTTGCTCTCGGGTTCATGTCAATTCCCATTGGTTTCCTCATCCGCTGCATACCCAACCGACCGGTCGAGAAGCTCTTCTACAAGATCCGACTCATGCGTGATCCAGATGTCCTACCGACTGCACGACCGAACGCTGGTCCAGAACGCCAAGGCTCGTGGAATGAAGCCATCAACCTCCTTAATGATACTCTGAACACCTTCAGTAATGTTCGTGGTGGCCGAGCTCGTGCGAGCAGTTTCGTTATTAGGAGCCGATCAGCTCGACTTGAGGCGTCTACCGTTCGGTTCCCCAACATCATGACGATGGTGCCCACTATCGTTGCGAGCTCAGTTGGAGCAGGGTGGGCTCCTAATCAGCATGGATTATTATCAGACCCTGCAGGATCGGATCCGAGTCGGAGTAGCGCTGCGCTGTGGGAAGGGAGAGTACAGCTGCATCCTCATACAGACAAGGATGATCCTGCTTACAAGAAGTGGGGCGGCAACCTCGCGCATGTTGATGCGCCTGCACCAGACAATTCGCACCTCAGCGCTTAATTTCTTCAGCAAGTGCTTTCTCGAATTGTCGCCTTTTGCTTTGTCTTTGTGAATAGTTTTACTTTCGATGACTCGGCTTCTGAAAGGGGGGTCTGTCATAGGTCTAGGTATCGTTTGGTCTGCGCACTGACGTGTTCATCCGGACTATGCGCAACACCTTGGGCACATCACAGGGCAATCTGTTCGGATCCGCATCGCTTTTGTCGGGCTGTCTCACTCGACAAAAGCAGTTGTGAGAACATCAAGCGAATTGTTCCTGTTTCTGCAACCGAGGACCTCCCTCCAGAAGCACGCAAGTCAAAACGAACATTGAAGCAACACGTCAAACATAGAACAAAAAGAGAACGAAATTTCGAAGAAATGAAACTTGCTTTACTTCCGGGGGCCCGGCAGCGCCTCGACTCCCCGTCATCTTTGATCACCCGTCTATTTTCGATACGATAAAATTAGAATATTTCCTCCCACCTATGCCGTTCTCTCTCAAACACGCATTATCGCTTTTCAGTTTCAAAATTACAATCTCTTTATACCCTTCTTTTCTTTCTCGTTTCTCGTTTCCCCTTTTTCTTTTTCTTTTTACTCTTCTTCATTCATAAACTCAGTAACTCATCAACGCATTTATTTTTTCTTTCTTCAAGCACCTTTCTGGGCTATCTTTTTCGGGTGTTTTTTTTTTCGCTGTGTTTTATCTGCTTATTTCCTTTCGTCGCCTCGCTTTATTCCCGATTATACAAATTACGATTCAGTATAACGCTCTTCCTACTTGAGGCTTGTTTTAGTTCTGTAGCATATAGTTTTCACGTATCATGACAGAGCAGAGTGAGAAAGAGAAATTACGAATACATAATGCGTTTCTCCTTTTCCGGTGTACTGTGTACATTTGTCATTTAGTATAACGTCAGCCGTTTCTTGCTTGGTTCTATTTGTTTGATTTAATTTGCATATGATTGTACGGTATCACGTGCCCTTTTTCAGACTTCACTCCATTTATTTTTTAATACTTACACTGTGCAACCTGTTCCTACGTCAATCTTCTTGGTTCCTTGGCTTTCATTTCAGTGGATTGGTACCCACGGTGCTCGCATGGCCGATGCTAGGACTGGAAAAGCCATTTCTTTCTTCTTCGATTATGAGCAGCGCGGTCACCGGTGAGGAATGTGCGTGCGGCCGCACGACTCGTTTGCAACGGGGAGCGTTTTTATATGCGTCGTGTCGTTTATGATCGCCAAGCTAGAGCCTCAACAACCTCGCTAGCCTTCATACAAGACATGTTAAATCCTGCTGACTTCGTATGGCGTGGAAATGTCGACGCGCGCAGCGGATCCACAGTTTTCAGGCGACCACTTGGTGTAACGGAGCTAACGTTCTATTGGGATGCCGTTTTTAATGGCGTCTCGACGACGATTATCTACATGGCGCTCGAGGCGACTGGAGATCTTAGTTCTGAGGTATTTACCAGAGAGAATATTGAGCTTTCGTGGATACGGTTGAAGCAACGGTTTCCGATGCTTGCAGCCTCTGTTGACGAGTTACCTGGCTCAGAATGTGTCGAGTTCGTAATCAGTGAAGATTCCTTGTATACTGTTCGGGACGGAGAAGTGAACATCATTGACGATTTGCAGTCTGCGGAAGACGTTTCGAATTTAACGATCGAACTGCAGAATGGTCCACCCGTTCTAGATAATGATATCATCGCGAAGGCCTGGATTGGGCAGCAGAAGGAGTCGCCTGGATTATGCCATATTTTCATTGCGGTGGCACACTGTATCACTGATGGTATGACGGGCGCGACATTGATGCGCGAATTTTGCCGTGAATTGTCAAGCCTCTCGAAAGAGAGTCGAATTATGCAGAAATCGCTTGCTGACAGGCTTTCTGTTCTCCTTTCGCTGGAGGCTCTGAATCCGAACAACACTCTGAGTCCAGCACAGAGGCGGTGGCGCTATGCAGCAGCAAGGGTTATACATAATTTGCGTCAAGCCAAATTTACAGTATGTTTATTATCCGATCGCTCTGTCAACTCTTGACTCAGAAGGTTTTATCAGGGGGGACATACTCTGCCACAGATACAACCTGTAACTGTTGACAGGCCGGCTCATTCCCAGACGATGGTAGTGAGACTTCCTGCTCCAGTGACACAACGACTTATCAAAACATGTGGCACACTCGGGATAACTTTCGGAAATGCTTTACCTGTCCTAAGCCAACTTTCTCAAACGCGTATCCTGTATAGGCATCGCAGGGGCAATAGAGCAAACTATCCTCATATGGAAAGTCGTGATGAAGATTGGGAATATCGTCGCATTCAACCAATGTATTACCCCGGACCAATTAGCTTACGTCCGTATTTGGATCGTTCGTGGTACGAAGGCGGTGGCAAAAGTGAAGTATGCGTCGCAATTGGCTTCGCGAATGTTGTGTTACCTGCTATGCCATCTCCAAAGCCACCTTTGCAGGTAGAGTTGTCAAGTTTAGGTTTGGTCTGGCGGGGACCTTTGTCGTTGGCGCGCTGGTTTGAAGGTTCGCGGGACATGGATACTTTCATATCAGATGTGCCTGTCGTTAGCTCCGGAGAATCGCATGGAGCCTATGGTGCTACGGACATAATAACCGGTCGTGGCCAAAGGTCTAAATTGAAATTGGGGAGTTACACACCGACGTCCTCTTCTATATGTTCCGGGCGACAAGTTCTTATACCTGAAACCCGTCACGAACGAGCCACATCTCTGGCTCGTTGGCTGGAAGGGCCGCGAGATGTAAACGCATTCTTATCAGACGAACTTCCCATTTCTTCCCGTGAAGCTTACGAACCATGTCAAACTACCGATGCTATCCATGGTTCTAGTCTGAATACTGCCTTGGTCGATGTGGGTCGTGTACCGACATTCGATGCTCTACTTTCTAAGAAACGTTTTCTTGCTCGCGCATGCCTGGTGCGTAAGCAAACTTCGGCGCAACTGCGCCATCCACTTCTTCAAGAACTGCATGTAGTCCGTATGTCCGAAGCCTGTCGTCGAAATCGGGATTTAGGCTTGGCATGGAGAGCGACTCAAACAAACCAGGATTCGGTAAAGAATAGTACAAGTATTCCGGGTACGGATTGGAAAACGGCTGGATACGTAGCATCGAACGAAGGGGCAAGCCTTGGAAATGTGCGATTTAGTTTGTCTCAAACCTTATTGCTTGCTCATCGAATCTTAACCTAAATAGAGAGATGCGATATTTCCGCTTGAGTACGCATTTGGCTCTGGATCCGCTCATCTAACTTCTAGTTCAGGGCGCTTACACGTACGGGACTCCGTAGTCCATTTACGTTGTCGTCCTGGCGAGTTGTATCTCGGTGCACTTACCACTCGCGGAGAGCTAACATTCTTCGCATACACGGACACAAATATATATGATCCAGCTCTCGTGCGGGAATGGATGGAAGATGTACGAGCGGCTACAGTGCATTATCTTGGTGATGGAGGCAATAATGAAGATTCTCCGATGAAAGCGAGGTTGTAAAGTGATTTTTCCGACGTTCGTTATCTGTCGGGCCAACAAAAGTGGATATTACAAGTACGTAACGTGTACTGGTTTATTAATGTCATACGGTTTTCTCTTATGTATTCATTCGTAATGGCATGGTTCCGTTATGTGCGAGATGCTAACCGGGCTTGGTTGCAGTTCCACGACGAATATATACCTCAGTCCTTCGGCTGCGTCCATTTATGCTTGCTCCAATATCTCACATCGGGAGGAAGGACGTAATTATTGGAGCCAACAACGGCTACGCTAGAACCAAGGATGCAATACAAAGATCAAACTTCGTTCTTGTCGATACCGGATTCGCTGAAGAATAACTACACTTACGACTCCCGTGAGCTTCGTCGGTAGACCCTTGGAAGACCAATCACGCGATCTTTTTGGACCGCCAGTTCCCATTTCATCCCTCGTCAAAACATCATCAGGATAAAAGTGCACTACTTAGCTTCTCACGCTGGAAGATTTGCAGAACTTCATCTTGTCTATTTTCAGGCTCGGTCTAGACATAGCGCGATTGTTCCTGCGCTCTTGGGAATCGGTATCCTTACTTGCTGATATGCCTACTTTCTCGAGCCTCGAATCGCCAAACAGCAAAAGGTCAAATGAGAAAGCATCCGAAATGAAATCCAGACCAGAGTGTTTTGGCGACGATCGCAACGATTGTCGGATTGATCTGACTAGGTCTGGATATGTGCCTGACAACCTGGCAGTATGTCCGCACAGTTCGTACGGCGATACATTTTACGGACATTCCACTGCGCAATGTGAAATTGCTCTCGAGTTGAATACGGAGCTTTGTCCGAACGCATAATTCAGGCTACGTTATCCAGGCGAAGGTGAACAAAGCCCGATTGAATAAGAAATAATAAGATCGGAGAACTCGTTAGCGTGTACACTTATTTTCGAGAGTCAAATTCGACCCTCCGAACACAGGGTGGCGATGATGCCCGGAATACCGTGAATCCGAGTACCAGTGGATCGTATCAATTAAGGCACGATCGACAAGTAATATTGGGACATGGAATGCAAGAGTCTGATTCGCGCCGCGACCGCTCGTAATAGTCCTTCTCTAGGTCATTGACACCCGGGTCCACTTCGAGGGATTGTGCGCCTTTTACCGAATCGAGTCTTGTCTCTCGGACATTTTCTCGTGTGCATTTCCGATCAAATTACGGCCGTGGTCTTTTGAATTGGTATAATTGCGAGCGCATCCGAGTTGCGATGAACCATAGCGGCTCCTGAGAGATTTTTTTTCAAAAGCGCTATCTGGATTATGGCAATTACCCGCGCTGCTGAATTGACTGAATACTTGGGCGCTGATATTCTATTCATCGAGCAGGGAAACCATCCAATCCCAAGGGTTGCCAAGTCTGATCAAGGGAGAAGTGCCGAAATCACTCTGACGCTTTTAGGTTTTCATTATGTTAATTATCGGGTCGTCATCTAAGCTCCTCGTCCATTAATAGAGCCAGACATGCTCGAAGACAATTGGTCATCCAGCAGCCAGCCAGCACACCCGCTTTGACGATTAGACAGGCATCAAGTGAGTACGTAGCCAGACAACTGAGGGATAACACCATTCACTTCCTTACCAGGCTAGTCATGAGAGAGCCCTCCACCTACAAGTGGCGTCGTACCAGCGATCCCGCTAGCGGAACAACAGCTTTTAGACGCCCTCTGGGGCTGACGGAATTGCAGTTTTATTGGGATAGCATATTTAATGGAACTGCTGTAAATACTTTACATGCAGTACTCGACGTAGATCCGACGTTTGAACATCGTATTTTCGCCAGGGACAACCTTGAACTTACGTGGACGCGACTCAAGCAGAGGTTTCCCTTGCTCGGTGCATCTGTGGAAGAAGTCCCCGATTCGGATGTCGTTGAATTCGTTCTGGATGAGGCCTCTCTATTCTCTATTCGATCTGGAGAAGTATCCATTATTGACCTGTTGTTGTCAGCGGATCACGTTGATCAACTAGTAGGATTCTTGCGAAACGGTCAGCCAGTACTATCGAACGAAATCATAGCAAAACTTTGGGTCGGACCTCAGAAGGATGTGCTTCATAGATATCACATCTTCCTTACCCTGCCGCACTATATTTATGACGGCATCGGAGGATCGGTGCTCATGCGCGAAATTTGTCAAGAGTTGGCGTGTCTCTCAAAGGAAAATCGTGTCCTCAACATGTCGCTCATGAAAAGGCTCGCTAGTCTCCTCCCTCAAGATGCATTGAACCCGAGCTATGGGGCAAGTGTACCGCGACGACGATGGCGCTTTGCGGTAGCGAATATTATTCATGGCTTACGTCAAGCTAGGCTTGCAGTGCGTGGTAGATCTTGTGAACTCTGTGTCTGAAGCTTCAGACTTATGAATTTCCAGGGGGGTCATACTCTCCCTACACTCCGGCCAGTTTCCTTTCACGCGCCTGCTTCGTCACGCACAATTGTATCGCGCCTACCAGCTTCTATCTTGCAACGAATCGTCGAGACGAGTCATGCGATGAAAGTCACTTTGGGGAATGCGCTGCCTGTTCTGAGTCAGCTTGCTCATGCGCGCGTCCTGTACAGACGACGAGTTGGATCAATATCTCATCGGCTCCCGGAAATCGGCGATAAGGAGTGGGCATATCGATGTATTCAACCCATGCATTTCATTTGTCCTTACAATCTCAGGCCGTATCTGGACTCCGCTTGGTACAAATCGGGCGGTTCTCAGGACGTCTGTTTGGCGGTAGGGTTTCGCGAACTTGTTCTTCCCCCTATGCCAACCCCAAAAGATGTTCTTCTGGCGTCTTCAATGCCCGCATCGGCGCGACAACAGGCTAATCCAAGTGAATGGAATGGGTCTTGCAACTCTTCGAACAGAGCTATCAATGCAACAAAGTCAGCATTGTCCGAGGCGGACGGTGCCCCAGATTTCTCTGTTTTGCTTTCTCGAAAACGATTTTTAGCTCGAGTTCGTATGGTTCAAGCGCAGACCGAAACTCTCTTTCGCCACCCTCTTTTGTCGGAGCTGCAAACGGCACGGATGCCAGAAGCTATCAATCTGTCCAGAACTGCGGCATTAGCTTGGCGTTCTAAACAAAACAGCCAAAATGAAGAAAACGGACATGTCTCTGATTTTGTTACGTTCCCCGAAGTTGGTACCTGCGTGTTCTCAAATGGTGGGGCAAACTTTGGTGACGTAAGCTGTCTTCAATAAAGGTTCCACACATATTGACGGGTATGAACTGAATATATTATATTCACACAGAGGGACGCACTTTTTCCGCTCGTATACCCTCTTCCGTCTTTATCCGTAGCTCAGTCTCAACCTGCGCGTCTGTGGGTTCGTGATACGGAAATCTATCTGCGATGCCGTCCGGGCGAGCTTTACCTCGGTGCATTTACCTCATGTGGAGATCTCAAGTTCGTCACGTTCGTGGATGCGAACGTCTATGATCCGGATATCGTACAAGAGTGGATGGAAGATGTCAAAGCTGCCACTGTTTATTATCTTGGAAGTTTGAGTGATGAAGACGTTGGCGGAGCGAGAGCGAAGCTTTGATGGAGGGTTGTGCACTGGAGAAGGGCATGTCGGTCCTTGACGAATGGCATGGCTAGCCAGTGCCACTCATTTGGACGATTGAAGCACCACACGCATCGCAGCACGATTGGGTATACTACACGGCATACTTGTTAATACCCATTCCGAGTTGTCGAGAAGACTTACGCGCCTTCGGCGCTAATATGTACACACTTCGGTCCTATGCCCTAGGCTAGGCCAGAGACTCTTCACCAGAGAATGAATACCCACTGCAGCTCCTGAAGCATGGTTAATAGAACTCAAGAACGCCACATCGGACGCAGTTGAGAAATGAACAGCCTGCTATGATTCGACAAAGCGTCATTGACCTCGACGGTTTGAATTGTAGAAGCCCCGCTCCTCGGAGCTTTCTGAACGAGGCAGAGGTAGAATTGAAGACAAAGGCCTAGCCCCATTCCAGCAAATTGATATCCTTGACGCATCCTGAAGTGACTCCGAGGACCTTCCTGCTATCGATTGAAAACTAATTTGAGAAGAGGGAGAAACTTGTTGCACGGGTGTGTTGGTTAATGACTTTGAGCAGCCTATGCCAGCAAGTGCAGTGGAACATCTCGAACAAAAGCAATGTATTGCCCAGAGTCCAGCTTTTCTTCGCAGGTTCGAGAACCTTCCACGCCCATCCTCGAAATACTCACGGATCTCTGACTAGCGCAGTAGTGACTGTGTGTCAAAGCTATACAATAACATATCCAATTCCAATTCGTGGGGATTCCACGTTGTCAACAAGATGTTCTGGGATGGATTATTGCGGTGAATACATTCCATTGTAGAAAATAGCAGAGCACACTCGAGCTGATAGCTGGTCTCGGAGCTGGTGATTCAATGCTACCGATGCTATCCGTCTACACTTAGAAGTTCCTTTCCTACCAAAGTGCGGCACACGCTCTCTTCAACCCTGTGTCGTTAATATCCACTATTGAAACTCCTTCCAAACGCTCGAAGTCGGGGTGAGGCCCGGCACTAAAACCCAGAGTTTTTCCTCAGGGCGAAGAACAACAGTATTATAGGAGATGCCGTAGTCTTTTAGATTTAACGTAGCCAAAGCTGTGACTGAAATAGTGTCTCCTGACGAAATCATTCAGCCGCCGATGGAGCCTCAGAAGCACCCTTTCGTCAACAATGTCGTACCCGAATTGTTGGTCAATCTCAAGAAGTTAATATGGGTATCTCAGTGTGATAACGGTGCATTCTGTCATGATGTTGTAGGAGACTCGGTGCTCATACGCGCACTTATTAACGGCCCCAATGGAAGTCCAGCCCTTGCACGTTTAGTTGGCCACAGAGACTGACTATTTGTATCAGTGAAGATTATGATTCAGCAGCGTCAGTCAGACGTTCAGTACCTGTCGAGTCGAAGTACCTGTTTGAAATTGTATAATCATATTTCTGAGTAGACGCAGGCTTCCCATCGCCTGTCCAGCGGCCCGCAGTCACCCAGTTTCACGCGCAAAACACTACTCAGCTGCTTGAGGTTATTACTAATACGTGCCATGCACTGCGCCTTGCGATAGTCCTCCTGTACATGCTTTAACTTCCTGCCCATGCATGCATCCTGTATAAGCGTTGTCAAGATAGTTCTGCTCATACAGCTGGTGATTGTAGTTGAGGATTGGGAACATCAGCGCTTACAGGTAGTGTAATCTATACGTCCTTACAATCTTCGTCCATACATGGATCGTCCATGGTACTAAGGAGTGGTCAGCAGTACACTCTTCCTGCTGTGCCAAATCCAAAGCCCTGTGATCCAGACTGCCCAGGTTTGGGGACTGGTCAGCCCTTTGTCTAACCTATACACAGGATTGCTAGCTCTCGGTCAGCAGCTTTTATTCTCTTTGAATTGGAACCCATGAGCTACACGAGGCTAGGCGAGTAATAGTTATAGAGGAAGGTGATGATGCTCCACCATTTCAGAGCTGCAAGTTGTATAGTATATTTTTGACTTGAACTCGAATGATTCAAGTGTAGGCTACAGCCCTCCTACACTATCTCTTTTGTCACAGCTCCAAGCTGATCACACTCTAGAAGTAATTTGTTGGCCGAGATGTTGAGGGCTTCACCATTGACATGACGAACTAAGTCAGTTACAACACGAGTGGCCTACAGATATCTATATCGACGCTCAGAGTGAGTGAAGCCGCTCCAGGTCATGTTTAATCATATAAATCCCTCTCATAGGTTAACACTACTGTTTCTTGCGTTCAATCTAACACAATAGCTGCGTTGGGATAGCGACCAGCGAAGTAATTAAATTTCCAGTTACATTTCCCTTCAGCCAGTGTTTGCGCCCATTCTGGCTTACCATGTCTGGGCTGGGCATTTGCAATGCGGATTTAAGCTTCCCTCGGCCCGGTGAACAATTCCTCGGTTCAATGCTGTTTTGCGAGGAGCTCAAGTCCGTCATTTATGACCCAAATGTGTATGATCTAGGAATTTTCCAAGGGTAGAATGGGGAGATCAGAGCGGCGAGTGTATATGGGGGAAAATGATGTGCCTTCTTCCGCTAAATCCGGGGCTTCATTCGGGTCTTCAATAAGTGAACAGGTATACGGAATGCCGAAGTAGTGAGTTCCATCCTTATGGAAGCATTAAACAGAGATGGAACTATTAATCCGTGTTTTCCGTGGGGTAAAATTAATTCCCGCTATTCGCGCGTTAATATAATTTCAGGGAAGGAAAAGAGAAACAAAGGCCGAACGATGTTTCAGTTTGACTAGTATGAGCGTCGGCATCCTCTAACGGTGAACATGCTCTACAAATCTTCCCTCTATGCAGCTCCAACGGCTTGGGATGCTTGAAGGAGGGTTGCGGAGGGGAAGGCGGAGGGGGTTAATGAAAGTCCAAGGCAGAGGATGTCGACGATAAGCACATCAACCCTTCTGCATTCACTAGTGTCAAAGAAACAAAACTTGTCCAAAAATGCGGATACATAGTCAGATTTCATTCATGTGTTTCCTTAGTACAACATTGTTTCGTACGGCAAGTTTATTTACTGGTGTTCGATGAGGGACATCTCCCTGCTTGCATTCAGCGGCATGCTGTAAGGTATAGGTCCCCTCACCATGCAAGGTTCCCGTGCTCGTTCCCTAACTGCAAACAGATATCGTTCGCCGCGCATGTAGAATCCGAAGCGTTATCCTTCTGCGATTCGGGACGCGCTGGAAATATTTCATGCCCCGCGGCTCGCTCCAGCTCTAGATGTGCTTCACAAAATTCTGGTGTGAAAATAACCTTAACGATGGACAGACATCGCAGCAGTATGTCAACTTACCAATGGTTCTCTCCTGGTAATAATGGACCCCGTTCTCCCTCTCTGGATGCACTGAGTTAGGAAGCACATTGTCGTTTCAAAATACTCGCGAGGAATGCACGGAAGGAAGCTCACGGAAGCCATGAGAGTATATGCCAGCGTTAAGACCCCGCTGCGTGGCGACGCAAAGGTCGTAGTCTTCTTTCTCGACTTGTTCATAAAACTATCGCACGCCGAGGACATGGTCAATTAGGCTCAAAGAAGGTGATGCCGAAATTTGGATGTGGAGCGTATCACACCTTCATGAATTCACGAAGCTCTTCGTACGACACGTTCTTTCGTCGGTAAACCTGAGAAAACACGTGTTACTCAAGCCTTCCATGCATTTCGGAGTAAACGCATACATCGTATTCCATCCTGGTCTATTTATGCAGGTAAGTCCGGAAATCCGTATTCCGGGATAAAGCTTATAGGGCAAACCTTAGTTGCAGAGATAGGCACAGTGCGCATTGTATACCACATCGTGTCGGTGACAGTAACCCCTGATCTGTAGAGCGTCTCGAGCATCGATCGACATATAGAAGAAAGCACACAAACGTGGGGAAGATAAAGGTGAATGTCTACACAAAGTTATCGATAATCAACTTCTCTATTATAATATTTGCTGGACTTACAGGTGGAGTCGAGTTGTCCGTTCGAGTCTTCGCAATCGGCACTTCATGGCGCGCAGCATTTTGCAGGGGCGTGACTCGATATTGATTCAAATCGAGCGTCTGCAATACCCAAGTCAGCGGCATATTCGAGTAGCTAAATTAAGAAGCTGCCGTACCTGCGCAAATCCTGGGTGACCGACACTATTGCGCATTCAGTATAGCTTGCCGTTCGTCGGAGCGGACTTCGGGAGTGAACAACAGATAACAACGCACGTGCAGTGATAGCATTCCTGGTACCCGTCCATGAACGTCTTCCAGTTGTAATCTCCTTCAATCTTCCAACTGTACGCATATCTGATTTCTCATGTGAGTACCGTAAGCTATTCAGTTAGCCTGTATCGTTACGTGTAGTTGTTTTTGTCAAAGTTGCGCCATTCATATGGAAGTCGTCCAAAATAGTCGTCAAATGCCACGGGATTAGGAGATGCGTCGAAGTTGATGAAAATGAATCCCTGTTGGGTAACATGCGTGTGCACCTTGAAGAGACCCTACGAGAACATCGGATTTGCAGAATTCAAAAGCATGTGATGTTCATCCAAAGGACACTTACGTTTGCCTTCTTATCAAATCCGGGTACAGTGTCAAACTACGTAGAGGGTCAGAACATGGGCCCCAAGCTCGTGTCCTTGGAGACGAAAGGGGAGACGAACCTTTGGTGCCTTGACAAGGTCTCCTCTTGCATTGTAGCTCCAGCCATGATACTATTAATCCCGAGGCGATCAAACCAATGATGCAATAGAAGACGAGTTGGCCTCACTCTACATCCGACGACCAAGGTGGAGCCTAAAGGTTTAGTCACGACCGGAAATGCTCTATGCCTGCAGACATTGTGGAACGCTTGAAAATTCCCGTCGCGGTCGCTGAAGACATGTAAATTGTCGTACATCAAAGGAAGGCCGGGAAAGCGAGGAGCCCGCATACAGAATAATGAAATAATCGAAGACATAGCTGCCTGCATAACCTTCGGCAAGACTTTCAGATGAGGTATTAAGGTAGGTACGTACCGCTGATATAGTCTCCCGGCTTCGTGAAGCGTGAAGTATGGGACGCCAATAGCCAGGACTGAAAAAGGGCCAGGATTAGAATGAAACACGCCTTTGGTAGACGTTGTATACAAATTGTATCAGTGTACCTTCGAGAAGATGGCCCTCTTCTCAAGCTGGAAGATGCCTTCATCACGCATCCACCGTGCTGGCAGAGTCTTCGGTCTATGCAAATCAATATCCTCTGCCATTGACGAAGGCTCAGGAAGACCAGTAACTGAGTTCTCGATAGCAACAGGAGCCATGTTGTGCAGGTGTGCTAAGTGGGTGATTAGGCAGAGTAGTTCGGACGGGTCGGCACACTTAGTTTATTTGTAGAGCATTTTAACTGATGATCCGGCCTGGCATTGAATTGGCTGATCAGGTCACGGCTCTCAAGACGACCCAGTGTGGAGTCCCTTAAAGGATTGAGGGCACTTCGTAGGATCCACAGTATAGGGATCATGAAATTTCAAGGTCCGCCGACAGAATTTCATCGAACTGCCATTGCAAAGCATGTTCGAGTCATTGCCGTGCTTTTGGGGGCTTTCAGCGAGACATGTGTTTGTTATTACAATATTTTGTAACAACAAACTCCGTCGATATGCGAGATAGGGAGCCGTAAATTTATTTCGAACAAGGCAAATCGGAATCTCCTAAGTCACGATATCGTGTTGCGGAAGTCATCTAGAAGCCAACAATGATAATGGGTACCGGTGCCGGGTGCGGCGCGATCGGTCAGATGCTTCTTTGCCCTCATAATGAATGTCAGCAGACACAGGCGTCTGTTATGACTTGGTCAGTTCCATGCAGTGCCCAGCTTGCTTACTAGGACAGGGGAAGAAGTCTCCCACCACGTAAACGGCGAGGCACTATGAGAATAGAGAAGTCCCAATACCCGGGAGTTGTATTATTGGCACATGAGGCTGAAGAACCAAAGTCTGTCGGATTTATCAATTGAAAAAGTGGGAAGAGTTGAAGTCCGATATGGGCTGCAGCGTCAGTCGATATGGGATGAAAGAGAAGGATAAACCAAATACAGCTTTGACTTTGATTCTCCTGACGCGTGACGTCACGGTCGTCCCTTTTCGTCTAGTCTTGTGCCACCAGCCATCGCGACTTGAATACAAACTACCATGCGCGTCTTTCGTCTCCCCACTGCGTATCGTTTACCCGGCGTCACATCGGGGACTTTTGGGGCACGGGAATAATGCTACGTAAACGCGCTGCGTCCTTGCTTTTCACTGCCTTCTTGACATTCAATCGCCGACTCGTAAACAGTGTGTCCAAGATTTACGCTTCTCCAACCTTCGAAGGGCTTTTCTCCAACAAGGCACTAGACGAAGGTCTAAACACGAGCTATCCCGGAATCGGAACTCATATCCTCGGCCCTGTGCTTCTTCGAAGGATTACGACGTATGGCATTCCCGCAGGCAAGCAAGTTTAACAGCCGCAACACTCCTGATCGCTGTCTGAATCTGCTGCTTCGAACTTAAAATTGCAAGAAGCTCTCTGGAAAATGTGTCCACTGGGTTGCCTTTGGCATTTTCTTCGGAGGGCAAGCTTCAAGGGTCACCTATTCGTCGAAGCACTCTGCTTCGATATTCATTTAATGTCCCCGGATGGGTTCTGGACTACTTCAAGGAATATTTGCACCATCTTTCTCGTCTTTTATTTTTTGTAGCTTTAAAAGCGGTCGTGCGAGTGGCCTCTATACAACAGATAAACTCCTCGGGGTTGTCACTTGTCTCGCTCAAATTTAACATGTCTCCTGTCGCTACTGACGCTGTTTCGAGTTTCAAGGAAAGCTTTGGAGTCGAGACAACTAGCTTGAAAGCGAAGCTACCTCTTCCAGCCTCTGACCATTCAACTCTTCCCGCTCAATGGATGCGTGACGAGTCAATCTTTGAGCTCGAGAAAAGGGCTATATTTTCAAAGGTCTGGCTCTTGACGTCCCATACAAGCCACTTTTCCAAGCCCGGTGACTATATCAGCGGTCCGTGGCTAGTTCAAAGCCGCAGATATGTACCACTAACGATGCATAATACAGGGAACAATGTATTTGACTACTTTATAATTCGGTGACGACAGTTTTCTTTGAATTTCGTCTCCTTCCAAGGACTCATGTCCATTTGCAGGGACAAAGACGATAATTATCAAGCATTCCACAATGTTTGCAGGCACCGTGCTTATCCAGTTGTCTCGAAATCCGAGGGCTCCAGCCTTGTCATTGGATGCAAGGTATCTGACCAACCTTCCTGCTAAGAATTTTAATACTTACTGCCTACCAATTCACAGTACCATGGATGGAGTTACAATGCCAAAGGCGATCTAGTCAAGGCGCCAAAGGTATGTCTGCTAGCTGGCTCAAAGGCGTCAGTGTGACGCTGTGTTCTGAGATCGTGCCGTAGTTTGATACAGTCCCTGGATTTGACAAGAAAGCAAATGTAGGCCCATTTTGGGAATTCTCATACCATAATCAGGGCTCAGTTGAGGGTTTCTACTAGGGTCTTTTCAAAATTCATACACACGTTACAACACAAGGTTTTATCTTCCTCAATTTCGATGCTTCTCCGAATCCTGTTCCATTTGAGGATCACTTTGCTCAACTACCTGCAGAGTGGAAGGACACGGACTTCACTCAATACGAGTTCGTGATTCCTTCAATAGGATTAATGTGTGAAAGATTGCTATTAATGATCGATTCATCGATTAGGCCGTACTACTACCGCCAGGTGGTTGGAAACTTCAATTGGAAAACCATGTCAGATGGTTATCAAGAGTGTTATCACTGCACGTATGCCACCGTTTCCCAGTTCTCTCGCGTGTCCTTACTCAATGAGATCTTCCGATAGGATTGCACATCCGGGATTTTCTCAGGTCTGCAGCATGGCCTTGACGCGGGGGAACTTAAAGCTGATGTTGCCTGCATGACTAGTCTCTGGATCTGACAGGATATACTGTCGAGCCGCTGTCGAACTCCGCGAGACATACTGTGCCACTGAAGTCTAATCCAGAAGAGAAGCAGAGTTTTGTCTTCATATTCCCGACGTACGCGCCCACATGTCTGCTGTACTTGGACGTGAATTACTCATGGTCCACTTCCACGATTAGACATGGAGTGACAGTTGCTCCTGAAGTATGGTATATTTTAAGGTCTGTGCCGCTGAGTGCAACGAAGGTATTGTCTTTTACCACTTTAGTATTTATCGAGCGCTCATACCCACTGCGTTTATTCTAGACGCGCATGGAGTTTGATGTTTGTTGCAATCTCACCCTCTGTTGCGAACAATCATCTGATTAAGCTGTGTCGTCTAGGTTTTCCGTCGTAAAGGAGTCCCGGAAGAAGTCTTACTTGAGAATAGGAAGGTATGTCAAAGCTGTGCATTGTGTCCGCACCACTCGTGTGAAAATATCGTCCTGCAGTTCTATACGCAAGTACAACAAGAAGACTTCGACCTTTGTGAGAATGCCCAACGTGGACTTAACGCTGGTATTTACCATAAAGGTGTCTGTGAGTGTCCCTTCCTTCCGTTTTTTTTTCGAGAGTCGTTCAACTTATGACTTTGGGGATGTTACAGTGCATCCAGAGGAGGAGAAAGGAGTACTGTATTATCAAAGTCGAGTCCTCGGTGCGCACGACATTTCTTTACTTCATACCCTGCTGCTAACAGATAACATTTACTTAGACTTCTGTCAGACACACCTCCAGCTAGAGAGGCAACTGGGGAAGGTTATATATCCTGCGCGACCCTTGTCGCAAGACGATGGTGAAGCGCCTAGTTGCGAGGCGAGTCGGCTATGCGCCGAACTTGACGCCAATGGTACCATGTCCTGGTAACTATTTTTAGGTCACTGGAATAGCCCCCGCGCTCGTCATAGCGCGCGCTAAGGAACATCATATCGGTAAGAATAGGTAGAGATCTAAGAGGATATGTGCTTCAGATTCAATAAATGCCTTTCACTTGCCCATTGATGTGGAATGAATAAAACGATGGTGATTGCACGGACGAAAGCAGACATCACTCCGTACATGGAACAGTTGAACCTGTTTCTTCTCCTTTTCCTCTCTTTACCACTTTCCGTTGTGTCAAGAATTGATGGAAGTGAAATAGGCTGTGTGCATAGGATGATCGGCGTTGCGAGGATGATGAATCCGTGATGTCCATTGATGCAGGATTCGGATATCTGCCCAAATTAGGAAAGTCGGTTCGGCAATGAGCTAAGATTGTGGCATAGCGAATCTGGCATCGACCCGGTTCCGTCGCATATAGCCAGACCCAGGGCCCCGTATTTATACCGTCTTTTCCTCACGCTAGCCTTCTTATTAAACCAGCGCCGCCCCTGTAGCCAGCTCTTCATCTTCCCGTGGCACAACGACACTTTGTTTCAGACGCCGCATTATTATGTCTTCGACGACGAGTAAGACGATGTCTGTGATGAAGTGGGTTGCGGCGAGTTTGGTGGGGTGGGCTGTGATGAACGGACCTGGGTTCGTGTTGGCTCAGGCAGTGACATCGACGACGTTGACGGAGGTGCCTATTGAGAGTATATCGGTCTTGAGCCAGTGAGTACTCCTGTGCATCATGCTTACACAGTTCTCTGGACTACGTGTAATGCATCGGATGAGGGATATTGATATTGATTGTTTCATCTTGTTTCATATAGGTCGACTACATCCGCGCCAATTCCGACACCGACACCGACACCGGCGATAGGGACAATGACGGTACAGTGTTGGCGGACGACTCTGCTCTCGGGGGCGCCTGCTACTTTCCCAGTCGAGTGCGTTGATCATTCACTGCACTGAGATTGGTTGTGGTACTGATGAGGTCCTCTTCGTGATTTATGTGTTATACAGTACAGCTGCGGCGTCCACCGTTACCGGTGCAGTATGTTACGAGGTGTTCTCTCAGGATGGTGGAATAGCTAGGATACCAGTGTACGTCTTATCATCTCATAACCTTCGTTATCGCTCATTACGGACATTCGCAGTACGCCCGGGCCGAACTTCGAACCTCTGGCACTCCAAAGCTCCTACTCCGCCTCTCTAGCATCCGAATCCGCCGCACGCGCCTCCAGCACTCCGGGCTCCTCTTCCTCTTCGTCATCAAACCACCTCGTCAGGGTGCTCGTACCTGCGCTGATCGGCTCGCTCGTCGGCGTTATCCTTCTTGGTCTCGTACGTCTCCCTTCACATAAATCACATATCACATCATTTTCTATTTTTATATCGCTTCTGATGATGTCATCTTGATATGGAACTAATTCCCGCATTCTGTTTTTGTTGTACAGGCAACGTTATACTTCCTACGTCTACGTACCCGCCGCAAGACACAAAGCTCGCGTGCCCAACGATGGGTGGATAACCGGAACAGTGTGGCGTTAGGAGCGAACGAGTCGTGGGCGATGAAGGAGTCGCCGTCACGCGCGACTTATGCTGTTAATAAGTCTGAGACGGCGTGAACGATGTAAGTAGTAGGTCTGGATGTTCTATTTCTATTCCTATTGGTGCATTCTGGAAGCTGAATGGATCTTCGTTTCTATAGATATTATTAATTGGTGGGATTGCGATGTCTCTTTGACGACTTCTATTCGCCACCGCTAGCGACTTAGATACATCCCCCTACACTCACTAGCGAATCGACTCTGCTTTGCTCATACTACTCGCACATTGCGCTTCGCTCACCGCTAACGACCCTTATTTATTATTCCTCTCACTCTCGTTTTCGGCTTGTTTTTCTTGACCTCTGCATCAAGACGTTATCTGTCTTACATCCTGGTCCCGGATATCATTACTTTTTGTTGGTGAAATTGTACGAATAACGTAAAAAGGACGACAACGCGATTGGCGGCGATACATACCTTCATCGGCGCTGTTCTGACTTGTTCTCTGTGTTCTCTGTTGTGTTGTAACACTTTCTTTCTTACGCTTTTTCTTGGTTGTCACACACTTTGTGTTGTTGTGTTGCCTTAGACTGTTGCAAATGCAATTAAACCTTTGGATTGGGTTGAGCCTTTTGTTTGACAAACAACCCCAGTGAGTCTCAAGGTGACATACATAGACGTATGTCAATCTCAACGTCACCACTGGCGTCATTCATCCATGAGAAGTACTCAAAAATGATCAACCATCCATCAAATTCAGTAAATAGCGACAACAACAGAAGCGAAAAAGATGTCGAGAATAAAATACAACAACACATGTCAGATACTGAACATGGATAGCAGGATTGTGATTGTGATGTGATTGTAAGAGTGACTTGAGATGCGTCCGCGGCGGTAAGCAAGAAAGTCTTGGCGTATGTTACTGTAATGTGTTTGTTAGCCATCTATATGTAGATCATCTATAGATGGATGTGGAAAGGAGGATGAGTTGCTTCGGAGAAGTACCAGTCGTAATAGACGTCATCGACAAGTACGTCGCATCTTTGAGGGTGCTCCGTTTTTTTCATGCCAGGGACTCTGCGAGCTTCTTCTGCAACTTTTTCTACATGGAGGAAAAAAAGTCAGAATTACTCAACCCCCAAAATAAAGAATAAAATCTCGAAACTCACATTAACAGCATCCATATAAACATCCGTCACGACCCAATGTTCACGGAGCATCTCCTTCCCGTGTATCGCAAGCGCAAGGTCCTTCGTCATCACCCCATCTTCATCAATCACTTCCACGCATGCCGCTTCGAGGTTCCGGCAGAAATTCGCTAGTGCGTCGTTCTTGTCGAGTTTCGCGCGGTGTAGGAGACCACGCGTCCATGCGAAGATGGATGCTACTGGGTTCGTGGATGTTTCTCTACCTTTTTGGTGTTCGCGGAAGTGTCGGGTCACGGTTCCTATATTTCATGTTTAATCATGTAATAAAAGTAGGATTTAAAAAAAGCATTGTTTGAGTTATAGACTGCGGTGTAGAATAAAAAGGAGAGGAAGACTAACCGTGCGCAGCTTCAGCTTCGATAGTCTTCCCATCAGGAGTAACAAGTTCACTCGTCATCATTCCCAGACTTCCGAATCCTTGCGCGAGAATGTCGGACTGCACGTCACCATCGTAGTTCTTACAGGACCACACGAAGCCACCCGACGATTTGATCGCTTGCGCAACCATGTCATCGATAAGGCGATGTTCGTAGTAGATCGACGATTCGTCGAAGAGAGGCTTATAATGTCTAGGAAGGTAAGGGAGAGAGCGAGAATTAGGATGAAGCAAAATATGCTCATAAAGATGTGATATGCGTACGTGTCGTAGAGCTCTTGGAATATATCCTTGAAGCGACCATCGTATTTCTTCATGATCGTGTTCTTCGTGGAGAGGAACTATACGTACAATAATGAATTAAATTTGATTTAGAACTTTCATGGCATGGATTATACTATACTCACTAGAGGAAGCTTCTTCTGCAATGCCATCTTGAACGACGAATGCGCAAAGCCCGAAATTGACTAAGTCCTAAGTTAGCGTCTGTTACCGTCCGATGCCACACTGCCACATACCTCATCAGTGTTATACATACTCATTGCCACCCCCGGTCCCTTGAAATCATACACGTCCAACACGGTCTTCTCACCCTCTGGAGGGGTGAACACCAACTGCAACTTGCCCGGTCCAGGCGCAACAAAGTCCGTGCTACGATATTGATCACCAAACGCATGACGACCGATGACAATCGGTTTCTTCCACCCCGGTACGGGCTTCGGAATCTTGTTCAGCACAATGGGCTCTCGGAAGACTGTACCGCCAAGAATGTTTCGGATCGTACCGTTTGGAGAACGCCACATTTGTTTGAGCTTGAATTCTATGTTTAGTTTAGATTAGTTTAATGAGACGATGGCTATGTTCGATGAAAGGCATGAATGTACCTTCTACGCGAGCTTCGTCTGGAGTGATGGTTGCGCATTTGATACCGACGTTGTATTCCTTGATTGCTTCAGCAGAATCGATGGTCACCTGGTCATCCGTCTAGTATGAAACGAACATTTAGCTCATGATATGGAAAGCATATAGACAACCTTACAGCATCCCTATTCTCAATACCAAGGTCATAATACTTGATATCAAGTTGTAAATATGGCAAAATCAACTAGGCAGAACCAAATCAAGACAAACACGCATATCAGTCGACAATACCTATTACACAACTAGATATTTAGGAGTAGTAGTACAACGCACCTCCTCACGAATCTTCTTCCAAATAATTCTCGTCATCTCATCTCCATCAAGTTCAACAACAGGGTTCTTAACCACAATTCTATCAAACGGTACACCAGTAGCCATCATCCTCGCAAGTGGCACACACGAACGTCTAAGTGCCGTTCCCACTCTTGATGATACATTGTACCGCGCTAACGTCCCAGACGTTGCGCGGCAGCTACGGAGTGGGAGACGTGCCAGCATCACCATTGTTGTCGTCGTCGTTCAAGGAGACCGGTCAAGAAATGTGAATAGTGATGGGAAGGAAAAGATGTGTTTGTGCTGGCGACGAGAGTTGAACACGAGATCAAAATATTTCCACACGTTATCAGTTGCCAATTTTGGACGAGTTGCATATATGCAACGTCATGAAGTATCTCATCATCCCGAAATGTCCGATTGAGCAACGTATACATTCGCCGATAATACCCCGCTTACAATGAAAACAAAAACTTGAATAAACATATGAAGAAAGGAAGGAGATGATCATGAAGACATTAGTCGTACAACATCAGTAAAAGAGTGAGACAATGAAAGAGTGAGCAAATGCACCGAATATAACTACAGTAATTGATATTGATTTGACAATAAAACGTTATCCCATTCATGAATCATGACCATTTAAACCGCACTCGATCCAAACACTCGCACATCGTCTTCATACTAGGTCTATCCCGAGGAGTCCGACTCCAGCACTGATCCATAAGCTCCCAAAGTTCATGAGCCTTAGGATCTTGGTTCAAGAACCTAACACCGCAAGTTGGTTTACCGCCTGCCATGACTTCGCCAATTACCCTGACGTCGTTCTTCCGATTTGCATAAGGTAATTGGTCGGTCAGGATCTACCAGAACAAATTAAAGGTCATACAATCAGCAACAAATGAGAATGACTCAAGGAAACAGCTTACCTCTAGGCAAACAGAAGCAAACGCATATACGTCGCTCTGAGTCGTAATAGCCGGTTTACGGTCGTCCTCGACTTCTGGGAGTAGGATCTCGGGAGCCATCCACCGTGCTGAACCCGTCAAGCAGGAAGAAGGTAACTCAAGAGCATCTGAGACTTCCCGGACCTTAGATAGTCCAAAGTCCGTGATTATGGCCTTGCCGTCCGCGTCCATGAGAATATTGCACTGATTTGAAATGAGACGTAAGTATCGAATTGCAGAGCTTAATCGGACTACTCACACCCTTAAGGTCTCCATGAACGACCTTCGGTAAGCATCCGTGCAGATACACAACACCAGAAGCTATCTCATAGAGCTAAACGCGGCACCGAAAAAAATAAACGGAGAAAACAAAAAAAAAAAGCTTCAACAAAGGATACACAAAACATAAAGCAGAAGCGACCGCATAAAGCATGAGAAATGGTAGGCATACTAACAAGCTGGTAGCGGTTTGCATTGGGGTTCGTCTCTCGTAAATACTTGACGATTGTCCCATTCTCGCACCAAGGTGAGACCATAGCGAGGGTGTTCGGAAGCTGCATAATGCCGTGCAACCTGGCGACGTGGGGGTGGTTCAGCCGGTGCCATGCCATGACTTCCTTCTTTAACCGCTGTTATCGATGTTTCAGTTCATGTAGAGACAGAGAAGACACAAAACGAGACGGACCGAAAAGAGTCTCTCCTGGGCGTAGCCGACCAGGTTCGCTCGCAGAACTTTCAACGCAACCTAACAATGCTTCAAACGTCTGTACCGAACGAATGTACAGTAAGCCTACCTGCTTCTTAACCGTGCCTTTCCCAGTCTGGTCAGTCCACAGCCCCTTCCAAACATCCGCAAATGAGCCATAGCAAACCGGGTGTTCGCCAACCATCGTCACTTCGTCCGTCAAGTCAATAATATCAATAGAAGATTTAACGAGCAACGTATGCGTCACAAGCTCCTCTCGGCATCCTCGAAGGAGCTTGCTATAGTCGATGTTCTCTGGAATCCAGCGTCTCTCGCTGTAATAGGTGAGAGTTCGAATCATAGAACGTGAAGAGACGAAGATGAGGTATTGCGGAAGGGTTTGGAGTAAAAGAGCGTTACGTTGGTAGATGTCAACGGAGTCTTCGATGTCGTGGTCTAGTGTCGATGGGACAACTGCATCCTTGTGAAATGGGTGTGGATGTTCTTCACGCTCTTCTGCATCCACTTCCGACGGAGCGTCTATGAGGAGATAGATCGTGCAGTGCGGTGAAACTGGGAAGAAGTAGTAATCTGTATCGTTACTGCGAAAGGTATTCTTTCAGTATGAGAATGCAGATGAAAACTCTAAATCAGAAAAACCCACAGATTTCCAACGCCATCCTCTTCTACAACCCCAAAGCAAGAAGCGCTTAAGATATACTCGTCCGGTTCGGGAGAAACACCAACGCAAACCTCAATATCTAGCATATTCTCATACCGTCGATGGATACAATCGCAAATGAAAGCAATCGACTTGTGCGCTTCATAATCCCCAGAAAGAAAGCACGTAAAGCTTTTCAACAGCTGGATCCAATCCAAGAACGGAGAATCTTCGTCGCCTTCCAACTGCGCCCGTTCATGCAGTGCACGAGGTGATCCCCAACCACTGGTCGAGAACAGGTACCCGGTGTTAGCCAATTTCAAAAGCCGTGCATACGTGTCCCGATTTCGAAATCGTAGAAATATAAGGTATTTCTGTAGTGACCGGAGTGCATGTCGACCCAGCGAGAGCTTAGTTTTCTCGGTTCGGGACGTGCACCGCTTGTCCCAGCCGAGACTGGACAGTTGCGAGAACCGAGGCTTTGAATCAACTTGCTGCAGGAGAGAACGTATAGCCGTCTCAGCGTCCCTTTCAAGGGCGTAGAACGCTGCGTTTGCTTCTCCCCACTCCGGGCGCTTAACTATCTCTGGTACTAGCTGTTCGATCTTATCAAAGATACCCTTGGAGAACAAACGATCGTTGTGGCCCTTGGAAAGCTCGTTTTCGTACGTGTCGTAAACATGCAGGCCAACGTATGGAGGGACCATATCGGGCGAATAGTTCGACATGTCAACCGGGCTTTTCAGAAAGAAATCAGAATTTCATCCATTAGTCCACTTTAAAATAAAAGGATTAACACAGATTAGCACCGACCATGTCTCCAGCCAGAAATTCCACAGGAATCCGGGAACATAGAACTCAACATCATCGTCTAACCTGCCTTCCTGGGTGCCCATGAGTATCTCTAAATGAACGACCCATCGATAAAATACACAGCATCACAAAAACACTTATACACACCGATTGTGGCGAGTGTGAAGAGAGGGAGCTATCACCGAAATAGATTCTGCCCATTCACAAAAATGAAACTTGAATAGGACACCTCACCAACCTGCAGAGCCCCCCTTCAAGCTCAAGGCATGAGACGGTGGGGGGATTAGCGACTAACGCCTCGGGTGTCGCACGACTTTATCTACCGCAGCTGCCACGGCATCGCCTCATCAACGGTGTGCTAACCCGACTTCGGTTGCCGCAAAAGCAGTCCACGTGCAAATCACAAGAAGATACACAAGCGCCCATTTAATACAATGCGCTCCACTCCAGTGATGCTCGGTACCTGTGATGACGACCGTTCAGAGCGAATGTTAGTCACTGTAATCCCAATTACACGAACACCGTGCCATTAGGTTCAATGGATACAAAGTTTACAAACGACCATATGCATTACGTGCTTACCATGGCATCGTTATCTGGCCATCGATGATTCACCAGTTCTTTTTGGCACTGGGACTGAACACCCAACGAGGACCCACAAGTTATCAGGGAAAATCCAGGTAAGTTAAATGAAAGCCTTGCCTTGTAATGCATTTGAGCGAAGTCAAGTAACGCGGACCACACGATCGAGCTCTCACAATCAGCCAAATACGTCCAAATAAGCTTGGCAGTAACAAATTGCAATACAGCAACCAAGGATGTCTTGACACGACTGTCTTATCTGTGGTCAAACGAACCTATTAATAGTAGTAGCATAGGAATAACCACCTAGTAGCTTAGCCTTTGAAAATCCAGTACATACAGTCCACGCAAACCTACAATATTTATGTTTTGACTTGCTTCTGGCTCATGCCTACAATTCACTTAGCCCTGTACATTTTTTATTTTTATTTAGTTATTCTAAATTCTCTCGTTAGATTTTCGGGTATTCCAATAATCAGACATTCAAAGAAAAGCTAAGAAGGCAGGTGCTGGCTGAATATTTATTTGAAGATCCTTTTCACAAAACTCAACAGAAACAGAGTATATCTGTTATTCTAGAGTCCAGCATGGTATTGGTATCAGTATGCTAAATTTGGTCATATATTATACAAAGGTCCTATATAATGTGCTTATAATTATTAATAGATATTTAATATAGTATAACAAAACAAAATTCAAATTCAAGTGCCAGAGATTTGATGACCTGGTTATTTTCAGAATCCATAGTGTTTTTATCATGCTCAACTCGGAATTATCCACTGGTATTTATTTGTTTGAATACAGTAATAAAAATATTACTAAAGAAGACTGCTTACCGGATGTTCTAATGCTTCATCAACAGTTGTTCTTTTTGTATAGCTTGGTTCAAGCATATCTTTACTGAGAGACAAAGCTACATGAAGACTATAGCAGCCAGACTGTGAGAATGGATTCACATCTTACATACCCATTACATCGTCATGCCAGACAGATTGTTCCCAAACTCTCTTATGAGTCATTATTTCCTGTGCAATTATTTCGGGCTCACGCAAATCCCCTTCTCTGTGAAATACACATATGAACAGAGTTTGTTACATTACTAACCAAAAGGGATCGTTGCTCACGAAGGCTTTGTGCTCGGGAAACTCTCTAATCCATTGTACATATTGTAGAATATGACACTGTAGACACGTTAAATATAAGTATTTCTGCACTTTGAAAGAGATCCAGCCTACCCAAGAGCCCAGACATCCATTGCATAGCCTTGTTTACCATCCCAAGCCTCTGGAGCCATGTACAAAACTGCTCCACCCACAGTATCGACTTCTTCTATGTTGTTGCCAGATGAAATGCGTTCTGTTCTGAGTGAAAAATCACCTTAATGCGTGTTGAAACATGAAGCACAACTCTAGAAAGAAGCTTACAATCCAAAGTCTGTCAGTTTCACATCACTTTCCCTAATAACTTCATCAGTGTTCCCCATGAGCAAAATGTTTGCAGGGCTGTTTAGCACAGATTCGAAACAAATCTATGAGATTCAGAACATTGCAATGTACTCACTTGATATCACCATGTACAAGTTTTCTGTTGTGCATGTGTTTCAGCCCATTTAGAGAGCCTCTTACAAGATATTATCAGGCCTGTTAACTAAGACCTGTATAGATCACTTACCTCATTACAGCCCTTTGGTCGCCTGTATGCAATTGTCCTCGCTTTATTCTTCCTTCCAAGTCTCCCCCAGGTGCATATTGAAGGATTACAACTATATAAGGCATCTTGTCTATAGTTTGAGCAAAGCTGTCATAAAACTGAATCTGAAGATATTGTGTGAATAGTCCTGGTGAGTCAGCTTGACAGTCAAGTGCTTACTATGTTGGGATGACCATTAAGTTCTTTGAGCAATTGCAACTCTCTTTTGGCCATCTGCTTCTCCTCAGAATTTGAGGCTACCATGCGTTTAATAACTACGAGTCCATATTTTGAATGATTGGCTCTCTGAAGCCATTAAGGGTGGAGAGGTAAGGCTTAGTCAAGGTGAAAGCACCAGACACTCAATCTCTAATCGTACTCACCCAGACTGTGCCAGACAAGCCACTCCCTAGTTTCTTAAAATCAGTTACTTTGGCATGCTCACATCACGAAAAAGTCGCAACAAATGTATTTAATAATAGCAAAAGTAACCTAATAAAATGATTTCATAAGTATTACATTCTAAAATAACACTTATATTTTACTTATAATGTAATTATAATGATTGTATATAAATGTAAGAAATATACAAAGTTTCTATTAAACTACAAACATGTTTTAGAGCAAGTAAGCTTACTAATAGTCTTATTACAACATTACATGTAAGGTACAAGTACTCAACTCTTATTATAATCTGTTAAAATTATATTATAAGATATCTACAATAATAGTTGATAGATTATAATAGTTATAAAAATATTGTATTGTGCTTGTAAGTTGATTATAATACTTTTAGTAGGATAATACACAATTATATATATTAATAATGTTAACAATCACTCTGTCAGACTTATAATATAATTTGTTTTTACCTTTAAACAATATATCGAAGTGATTACATAATCGAGTACCGAAGATCGAGAGCATATAATGACGCACTTGCTCTCGTCACTCCTTTTCCTCCTACCTCCATCATCTCCCCAACCCTCTTCCCCCAACGCTATGTCGTCTCTTTTGTTCTCTCCAGCCCAGTACTCTGCCTACAAGCATCCTCCAGCAGGCACACTGCCTGTAACCACCTAGGCAATAAAGGTCACTGGATTCGTCTCTCTAATCTGCCACTGCGATGCCTGCACTGAGCCTCAGATCCTGTGACAACACGGCCGAGTTGGCTACACAGTCCTTCAGCGTAAAGTGTAAGTAGCCAGTCCACTTCATAATAACTCGCACAATAGTTGCTCATCCCTCTCATCCCAACTTCTTGTCACCCTTTCATCCCTCCCGCTCCTCGCTCTGCCTCTTGTGTTGCCTCTCCTTCGTTGCCCTCCTTTTTCTTATGCTCGCCTTCTTTTATTCATTCACATTCGCACATCCGCATTGTTGACCAATGCCGAACGACTTCTCCAATAATTCCATGCATTCGCATACTTCTTCCCGCTCAGCAGCGCAAGCAACAATCGGTGAGTACGCACTCGCGACAATGTCCATGTATGACCACTCCTCAGGCGCAATCCTCTCTCCGACCCCCCGCGCACTCCTTCCCCACCTACCATCCTATACTTGACGTCACCCTCGATGGGCCCACGCCGTGTGCATTTACATTCCCCAGTGCTGTACATGGCACCATTTCAAACGGAAGCAGTGACCCAGCGCTCCTCTCCTGAGCCGACTCCGTCTGCCTTCCACTTCACCTTCACCTTTCGAGCCGGAACGTCCCAGAGAAACACCTTGCAATCGACGGCTCAGTTTACTGCACCTCCCATTGACGCATAAACCATAGAGCGCACGCGCACAGACACGGTTTCGTCTGCAGTCCGAATTAGCTTGTTCAACACTCCGGATCTCAACCTGCATACACCACTCATACTTGCTGCACGCTGTCGCGGTGCGTCGTTCCTTTCTGTCTTATTGTCGCTTGCTAATCACTCTAAACCTGTCTCACAGGCGTAGCCTCAATCACCACAACCTGCTCGACCTCAATTCACACCTGCTCGCAATTCAACTTGCAGGGACCGAGCAACGACCAAAACATGGTGACGAAGGCTACGTCGAACGGCCTGAGAATGCGTTTATCCTTTTCCAACACAAATCCTACTCGCAGAAGAATGAGGCAGAGGCAGCTGGTGGTGTAGGGGTTGGGACTGTAGAAATAGTGTATTATTTACTATTTTTGTATTCTATAATTTAAATATAATTATATTTGATTAATTATTTGATATAAAATTGTATAGTAAGCAAAAGCAAGCTATTCAAACACTTGTAATGACTTGTAGGCATGATAAGCAGATATTATACTTTTACAAATTAATAAGTATGTCTTAGCCTTGTAATCTTAGGAAGTATGTTATAATCACTTGTATAACTTAACAATTTACACAATTATAATTGTAATTGCCAAGTTCTAAAAGTATTCTTGTTTACTTATTTAACATTGTACTATCATTGCTTAACCCCCTATGAAGATTATATTAACATTGACAAATTTTATAAAAGGTACAAAATGTATAGGATTACAAGTGAATACAATACTTAAGACTTTTTCGTGATGCATCTGATTGTTTCTCAGGTTTTGTCCGTCTATGTTGCTGTGCAGTTTTAGACGTCCTTCGTTGTTCTTGGACAGACCTATGTTTAGTTGTAACCCCACTGCCTGTATTTTTCGAGGACTCAGTCGTCCTAGTCCTCGCACGGGTCGATCTATTAGTCCTTGGTCTGTCTGCTTCTTTGTTTCTAGGTGTTGTTCTCGTGGTTGGTGTTGCATCCGTTGTTCTGCTTTTGCTTGTTGATTTCGCCGAGCTCTGAGCCCTTCCTTTGTTTGTCGCTCTTGAATTCTTTATCTCCTGCTGTCTCTTTCTATAGATGTGCTCTGCGAATTTCGTAATTAATGAGGCCTTCTTGACGGTTTCTCTTCCTGAATTCTCGTTGCCTGTATGCTTTTTGGGCTGTGCATCTTTCTGCTTCTGAACGGGTTTTCGACTCCGACCTCCACGATAGCGGCCCCGTCGACTCTGTTGGTAAGTATTATGACTTTCAAAATTCGTACTGGGTGCGAATTTAACGTGTTTCCCGTCGTCTTCAGCTTCTGAATACGTCTTAGACTCTTTCGGTTCAGATTCTCTCGGTTTACTTTCGCAAGAAGACACACGCCTCCGTCGATGCCGATGAGGACGTGCAAACATCAAGTGTCAGAATACTATGGGACTGCTTTACCTCGGACTTATGGAGTAGAGGAGAATTACTTCCTGAAGAGATTCAGTGGTCGATTATGCAGCGGTTGGAACTGACAAGTATGCATATTTTGGCTGCATTTAAAAGACTGCCGGGAGTTTGCGTGAAAGTTGAGAAGCGCCCATTCGCTGGCACCGGGAATATCTCGTGATGGATAAGTAACGTGCAAAGCACTGATTTATATAGGCATTCTTTGCAAAATCTAAGGTTCGGTGCTAATGAAAAGAGAATTATAGCTGAAACGTTTTATGCCACTCAAGAAGACAGCAAGTGGCTGAGTATATGCCATGTGCCGCATTTAGCTTATAGAATATAATTTCAAGTGTGCAGGAACCACGCGTCAATCCGATCTAGCCGTGGGAATTATAGGACTAAGGCAGAGTCCACAGTCTACGACTATCATTGTTAGAGTACGAGTGGAAACTGGCCAGTTTGCCACACTGAGGTTATCCACGTGGGTTACTCACGAGGATAACCACGAGGGGAACTGAAACAGGGAAAAATACTATGTGGTGAACTGTATTAAGTAGCATATTAGTCGTTCAGAAAAACAGAAAAATGAGGGAATAAAGTACATAATTATGTTTGTACAAGTCCTCTCCCCTAGAGAGATTGAAATAAATCATCAACCGTTTGTTAGCCCTACCAAATTCTTGCATTTATTGAGGAAAATTACTATTTTGGGCATATTGCATAATATAGTTAGCTAATTCCCAACATGTTGACAACGTTGGAAACTACCCTGCTAGTTTTCCACATGTGGTTATCCACGTGTGGGAAACCCTCAAAACAGTTTCCACTCGTACACCAAGATTCATCGTACCTACCGATGTTTTCATTGAATTCCGTCTTCGTTTGCAACTCTACCGCGACAGAATACATCTCATACAACATCAGTGAAATTTACACGGCGGCCAAACGTAAAGATAGATGGCTTCCACATGCTTAAACTGTATCGAATCGGAAGGTTGCGCGATCTCAGGGAGGAATATGTAAGCTCTACCGGTCCGCTTACACAACACAGGACGCAGCATTATGCTTCATGGATTGCTTCTAGCTGTAAGAGGTGGCAAATGGGGCAAGTGCGCTCTCATCACCGTGTTTTCAAAAGTACAATCGATCCATGCCCGCTCGTACAAATAGTCTTCTGATGCTCGTTGGTAGGACAGGACCACACCTTTCTCATTCCTGTACCTCTGGTTATATACTCCATAGCAGCGAAGTAACCTGATAACAATGGCTGACTGGTCTCACTATGCAACGCCAGACCCCGAGTTCATGGCTGCAGTAGCAAAGGCACCACCAACGTCACTTCCAGAAGTAAAAACTGCACTTGAAGGTGATCAGGTTCTCATCGGAGCTCAGAAGGCCTCTGGAGAGATGATGCGCAAGGCTGTCGAGGCGGCTGGCCCACGTTAGTACGATATAGATGTTATTACTTACCAATTCGTTCATGAATTTCTATGCTTTATTTAGCCGTGGGTATTACGGTGGTAGAGAAGCGGATTCCTGTGACCACTCCCCCAGGAGATATAGCAATCAGAATCTACACTCCGCAATCTCAAGACAGTTCGGAGACATTTCCTGTGTACGTCCATTTACACGGTAAGTATATTCTCTTCAGTCTTTTTCAATTGTCTCGGTGATTTTTATTTCTTTGTCCCAAGGTGGCGGTTACTCACTCGGAAACCTTGACATGGACGAGCTCGTTTGCCGAGAAATCTCTGCAAAACATCGCATTGTCGTTGTGAATGTTGACTACCGTCTCGCTCCTCAATTCCGCTGGCCAACCGGTCCAACTGATGCATATGATGCTGTAAAATGGGTATGTACACATCTCGGCCCGATGTCCGATCTTATTCTCGCTTTGTTGTAGGTAGCCTCCAATGCATCAGAATTGAGAGTTGATCTCAAGAAAGGTTTCATTGTCGGTGGCCTTTCTGCAGGTGGAAATTTCACATGTGTAGTTACGCAACGTGCACGAGAAGACCCAGGTCTTCAAGATAAAATTACAGGCCAAATTTTGCAAGTCCCAGGAACTATGTCGCATGCAAAGGAATTTCCGGAACAGTTCGTGCTTGTATCATTGACAAGATCCATTTGCGCATGTTGATTGTCTCCTCCGTTTACCAGCCTCAGAGACAAATTGAAATCTCATGAGCAGTGCAAAGATGATCCCATACTTCCTCGTTCAAATCTTGCATTATTCACAGGCATGTTTCCAGGATGCTTTCATACTTAACAACAAATCCTAAAGCCACTTTCCTTATAGGTGCCTATCAGCCTGGTGATCCCTGGGATCCTGCTGTGTCTCCTCTGCTGGCAAAGTCCTTCTCTGGCCTTCCTCCTGCCTATGTTCAGATCGCTGGAATGGATCCATTGCGCGACGAAGGTCTCCTTTATGCCCAGATGATGCAGGAAAGCGGGGTTTCGACTAAGGTCGATGTGTAAGTTCATGTCTATCCTCCGCGTGTTGGCCGAATTAACATGTCTATCGAAATAAGGTATCCCGGTGTGTCTCATGGATTTACGTATTACTATCCAACGATTAGTGCTGCGGTGAAATGGCGCGCAGATCTGGACGTTGGCATCCAATGGGTTTTAACGTTTGCTAAGCAGTGAACTAAGGGAACCATCAGGTCACTCATCGCGTTACAGTCTTTTTATCACTTGTACGCAATTGTACTCGCTTTATTCTTCCTTCCACGTTTCCCCAAGAGGTGTATCGAGGGATTTAAACTATATAAGGCACCTTGTCTATAGTTCAAGTGAAACCGTTATAAAACTGAATCTGACAATATCAAAGGGACACTGCTTGCGTGTCGCTCTGACGATCAAGCACTTACCACAGTATATTGAAATGATCACTCAGTTCTTTAAACAGTTGCGACTCTCTTTTGGCCAAACGCTTTTCTCAGAATCTGAGATAACCGGCATGCAAATTTAACATGTTCTCCGTCGTCCTCCGCTTTAGAGCGTGCTTTAGACTCCCTCGGTGCACTTTCAGAAGAAGCTACATGCCTCCGTCAAGACCGAGGAGGACGTGGAACTATCAAAATTCAGATACATTTTGCACTTGAATTACCTTCGATTAATAGAATAGAGGAGAATTGTTTCTTACAAAGGACACAATGGACCGTTTATATGGTGTTTGGGAAGAATAGGTATGCACGTTTAGACCACCTGGTCAGATTTTTCGTTAGACCCAAGGAGTACCCATTTTATGGCATCCGAAAAGACCTTGTTTAGAAAGGAAACATGCCAAGTGTGCATTGCGATACCACGAAAGTCGTACATACTTTGCACATACTGTGCACACTATAAGTCATAATGCTAAAAAATAAACGCTACAGCTGAAATGTTTGTTTAAGTAACTCAAGGAGACACATAAAGAGTTGGGTATATGACACCTGCCACATATAGCATATTTTATGGAGAATTGCTCAAATACATGATACGTGAGAATGGTCGAAGCATTTGATGGCTGAAATGTTACAGAGAGAAAAACATGTAACTACAGTATCAGGCTATCAGGCGCGTAAAATCACGTGCCACTCCGATAGGCCGTGGGAATTGGACGACTACAGCACTGTAACAGCAGAGTCCGCGACTATTAAACGTGTTTGGAATATCCCAATGTTTTCGTTATATTTTGTCTTCATATGCAACTCTCTCGGGTCTGAATACATCGCTTACGACATCAGTGAAATTCATGCAGCAGCCGAACATACAGTAGATGGCCTCCACACATAGTTTACACTATCTATCTGACGCGACTTCGGGAAGATTCGTACCTTTTGCTGGTCGGTTCACACAGACAGGCGCAGCATTACGCATCATGGATTACTTCTAGCTGTAAGAGGTGGTAAACGGGCTAGTACTTTCTGATCATTGCGTTTCAGAAGTACGATCAATCCAATTGTGCGCTCATACAAATAGTTTTCCGATCTCACCGGCAGGACAGGAGCACACCCTTCTCATTCCTGTATCTCTGGTTATATCACTCCATAGCAGTGAAGTGCCTTGATAACAATGGTTGGCTGGTCTCACTATGCAACGCCAGACCCTGAGTTCATGGCTGCAGTAGCAAAGTCACCACCTCAGCAACTTCCAGAAGTAAAAAGCGCACTTGAGGGTGACCAGGAAGTCATCAAAGCTCAGGAGGCCTTTGCAGAGATGCTGCACAAGGCTGTAGAGGCTGCTGGCCCACGTTAGTATGGCATAGGTGTTATTGCTTAGCAATTCGTTCATAAATTTCTATGCATTATTTAGCTGTGGGTATAACGGTGGTAGAGAAGCGGATTCCTGTGACCACGCCCCCAGGAGATATAGCAATCAGGTCCGCAATCTCAAGACAGTTCGGAGGCATTTCCTGTGCACGTCCATTTTCACGGTAAGCCCGTTCTCTTTAGTACTTTTTTCGATTGCCTAACTAAATCTTAATGCTTCGTCCAAGGTGGAGGCTACTCAGTAGGAAACCTCGACACCGACGAGCTCGTTTGCCGAGCAATCTCTGCAAAACATCGCATTGTCGTTGTGAATGTCGACTACCGTCTCGCTCCTCAATTCCGCTGGCCAACGGGTCCAACTGATGCATACGATGCTGTAAAATGGGTACGCCAACATTTCGGCCCGATGTCCGATCTCATTCTCACGTTGTCGTAGGTAGCCTCCAATGCATCAGAATTGAGAGTTGATCTCAAGAAAGGTTTCATTGTCGGTGGCCTTTCTGCAGGTGGAAATTTCACATGTGTAGTTACGCAACGTGCACGAGAAGACCCGGATCTTCAAGGTAAAATTACAGGCCAAATTTTGCAAGTCCCAGGAACTATGTCGCATGCAAAGGAATTTCCAGAACAGTTCGTGCTTGCATCATTGGCGAAATCCATTTGCGCATGTTGATTGTCTCATTTGTTTACCAGTTTTAGAGACAAATTGAAATCTTATGGACAGTGCAAAGATGATCCCATACTTCCTCGTTCAAATCTTGCATTATTCGCGGGTGTGTTTCCGCGATTCTTTCGAAGTAAGCAGCAAATCCCAAGGCTGCTTTCCTTATAGGTGCCTACCGGCCTGGTGATCCGTGGGACCCTGCTGTGTCTCCTCTGCTGGCAAAGTCCTTCTCTGGCCTTCCTCCTGCCTATGTTCAGATCGCTGGAATGGATCCTTTGCGCGATGAGGCCCTCCTTTATGCCCAGATGATGCAGGAAAGCGGCGTCCCGACTAAGGTCGATGTGTAAGTTCATTCTATCTTCTGTGTGTTGGACGAATTTAACATTTTTATCGAAATAAGATATCCTGGAGTGTCGCATGGATTCTCGTTTTACTATCCAACGATTGGTGCCAGCGTGAAATGGCGCGCAGATCTGGACATTGGAATTCAATGGGTTTTAGGATTTGCTAAACGGTAAACGACTAAGAATGCAAACCATCTTCGTTATGCGTCGATGGTCGTATAAAGTAAAGTTGTAAACGTTTGAAACACAAACTGGTAGTTGTAAAGAAAAAATCAGTTCAGGAACTTGGATATTGTACAGCCAACCGTTTACGACGTGTGATTACATCAGAACCAACCCCCCCGCCAGATATTCAACTGAACAGGAGAAGCCAAAAGTCCATATTTTTGTTGCTTTGGAATCTCTAAGTACGCTCCTGAGTCACGTGATGGTAGAGTTCCGTGGGACTTTTGTTCGTCTGTGGCAGACTGATTCAGTAGAAGGCTGCCGAAGCCATGTTTTATATGTCAGTGCTTACTTGAAACTCCATCTTCAAAACTCCAGACTTAATAATGCTAAGGCTTTGAATATATCTACGATAATGGAATTTCCGCAGTAGTGCCCGTAGGCAGGTTTATGTGGTACCGTCTGGTCCATCACGCGCTAGATGTCAATCACGGTCTTGTGCCTGTGCTGGTTGACTGAGACCGAGACATGAATAACGTGCTATAGATTACTTCTGGTCGAAAAAGGTTTGTTAATTGGGCAGGTGATTTGATCATTTTCCGCGGTATGATCAAGCTTTCAAGCCCTGACGGTACTGTATATTTAATCCGTCGCGCAACTGTTGCTTATCCACAGCTCGTCCTTCATCCCTACATTGAAGTGGCTAATTGATCGCTATCAATGACTGATTGGTCTCATTACTCGACGCCCGACCCCGAGTTCGTGGAAGCATCAGCGAATACACCACCTCAACCTGTTCCGGAAGTAAAGAATGCACTTGAAGTCGACGAGGAAGTCATCAGACGCCAGAAGATCGTCGTAGAGATGATGAGCAAGCCTGTCGAAGCCGCTGGTCCGCGTTAGTATGATGACCTCTTCACTATTGGATTATTCGTTCATGGATCTTCGTTCATTGTTTAGCTGTGGGTGCAATTGTAGAAGAGAAGCGTATTCCTGTGACCACACCACCGGGAGATATAGCAATTAGGATCTACACTCCGCAGTCCCAAGACGCTTCTGAGACCTTCCCAGTGTATGTTCATTTTCACGGTAAGGATGCTGCTCTTTATTTCTTCTGGACTCCTCCGCTGATTTTCTGCTTCGTGAAAAGGCGGCGGCTATTGTGTGGGAAATCTCGACATGGACGAGCTTACTTGTCGGGCGAAATCTTCAAAGCACCGCATTGTCGTCGTGAATGTTGACTACCGACTCGCCCCTCAGTTCCGCTGGCCAACAGGTCCGAACGATGCGTATGATGCTGTAAAATGGGTAAGAACCTACTCTGACCTCTTCCTGATATTGCTCTTAAGATCCTCGTGCTTTTCCAGGTAGCCTTAAATGCACCAGGCCTACGAGTTGATCTCAAGAAAGGTTTCATTGTTGGAGGCATCTCTGCAGGTGGAAATTTTACTTGTATAATTACACAGCGTGCTCGAGAAGACCCGGAGCTTCAAGGTAAGATCACAGGACAAGTTATGCAGATTCCAGAAACCATTTCGCACACAAAGGAATTCCCGGAAAAGTTCGTATCTACGTAATCGCGAAATACATTGCCGCATACTGATTGTCCCTTCCAATTAGCTAGCCTTAAAGAGAAGTTGAAGTCTTATGAAGAGTTCAGGCATGATCCTCTGTTCCCTATTGCGAATCTTGAATTGTACTTTGGTAAGTCATCTTGAACTATCGAGATTACCGGAAGTTTCTAAAGCTCCTGCCTTTACAGCTGCCTATCAATCTGGCGATGCGTCTGATCCCCTTGTGTCCCCTTTGCTAGCAAAGTCTTTCTCTGGTCTACCACCTGCATATGTCCAGATTGCCGGAGCGGATGCGCTACGTGACGAAGGTCTCCTTTATTCCCAAAGGCTGGAGGAAAGCGAGGTCCCGACAAAAGTCGACGTGTAGGTCACTTTGGTGTCGTTCCTGTGATGTGAATTAAAGCATTGTCGAATTAAGGTATCCTGGTGTGCCGCATGCATTCACGATTTGGTATCCGACAATCGGTGCTAGCGTGAAGTGGCGAGCGGATCTTGATATTGGCATCCAATGGCTCTTGGGGTTCGTCAAGCAATGAATTGACCGGGTAATGTAACAGCAAAACCGCGAGGGATCCTTGAAATGGTGGCGCAGTTAACTCGCTCAAAATAAAGTATATAGTTTGTGATAAACATGAATTAAGCTTGAGAAATAAAATTGACTCGTGTATTATGAGGCCTATAAGCTTGCTCGTGTAATCTGACTTTTACAGAGGGTTAATATTAATCTCAATATCTAGAGTAAGTTCGACTAGTTTCTTTTTCGGAAATTCCTACTATACTTGAAAACTGCTATATTAGGCGATTACAAACGCACATTACATACTCACCAAGAAACTGTTGGTGACCTGTTTGTTGACTCTTGCGCATCACTTCCCGAGGTCGACCTTATAAGGTTGCTCCTCCCTGGTAGGATCCTCTCCAACCCATACTTCTCTAGTTTAAACCATAACTAAGGCTATTGGAAGGGCATACAGGTAATGCAGTGATTGCACCCCTCCCTCTTTCATTGCCTAACAATGTACGTGAACCTAGGAAGACAGAGACCTTGATTGAACGGTTATTCTTAGTCGTGCTACATGCACAGCCAGCACGGCTACACTGCAAAGCAGTGTTTCGGCTATATATGTCAGAGCTGGATGCAACGCAGAGAACACACTGTTATTTTTTAAAGTATAAGACTGTGTCTACTTATAACTATATGTTATTCACTTCACTTCCCGAGCGAGGAAGGAAACCTGATTTTGATATTGTCTCTAAGAGCTTCTTCTGGAGGTTCGAGTGGTATTCCCATCTCTTGCTCCAATCTCTTTTTATTTTTCTTAAAATGATCTTTGTTCAGCTTAACTCGTTCGCCCGGCGTTTTGTATTCTCCTGGAAGTTTAAAATGTTCAGGCTTTATTTTGCCACTTTGCTTCTGCGACTCCTTGATAATGTATTTTTCGAAACCTGCATTGAGATCCATGATCAGTCTTCTTGTGGAAACAAAAAAGAAGGCACAAGGTAGAGAAAACCCCTTGCGCCGATGTAGATAATTTATAGCCACTGCTGGGGACCGGGATCCGCCAGCTTGACAATGGACTAGAACCATATTGCCCCCTTTCGTTCCTTCATCAATGAATTGACAAGCTTCGTCTAAAATGTCCTCTATCTTCGCTTCAGTCACATCCTCAAGTGCGATTTTCTTCGCGGTGATTTCGGGAGACAATTCCTCTTCAGGATTCACCCCAAGGGACAATACGTGTGTAATATGATTTTGGAGGAGGAAGAGTTTGCACGCGGCTGTACGCGAGCCTACGAAGATGCCGTATCCAATATAATCGATATCATAATGTGGGTCTAAAGGACGGTAGTGGTTAGGACAGAATCTTTCGGGACAATGAGAATGTTCTTTTTGTTCCGTAGCGCTGTTTTGCCTTGGTCTGGACATAGCTGTATTTGCTGTTACCTGCCAGTGATGAACGCACATGGCCAATATATAATATAAGTGGCAAAGGGCAAAGGAAGATTTCGACCAAGAGGAAAGCGTTGGGTTGTCCTCTTTGTGTTGTCAATTTGATGGTTTCCAGCAAATCGTGATACTCGGTCTGATGCAATGCCTCGCACCGACGCGACCTACTTTGCCACTCAGAGTCGTAGTGCGGACAGGCTCATCGCTCAACAAAGTAAATGTCTCAAGAAAGATAGATTCGGAGTGAATAGATATTTTTAAATTTCACTGCATGTCGGTCCATCCCACCAGTAACCTATCTACTAGAAAAGCTCTCATGGCAATAGATTCGTGCTTAAACAGCAAGAAAAGTACGAATTCCCCAAACGACTACCCCGAAGTAAGTTGCATAACACGTCCTTCTAATACCAGACTACCCCTTCGTAGTCCCACATAATACAGACCTGTATCACCCTCTCGCCTTAAGCGCAGCAGCCGCACTCTCCATAATCGGATAAACCGTCCCGGTCGGGTACACAGCATATCCATCGTTCGGCGACGGACCCGTCGAGAGTTGAGACCCAGCTTGCCATATCAGGTTACCCGTAAGACCTGAAGAAGTGATCTCATTCCACCATCCGGTGTAGATCGTTGCTTGGTTTGTCGTCACACCGAATTCCTCTGAAGAAATAGGAGGGATTAAGATGAGATGAAAGTGAAGACAGATAAATTTATTACTGACCGAGAATAACGGGCTTGTTTGCGTTCTTTTGAGCTGTCGCATGGTCAGCTATCCATTGGACTCCCCATGCGGACTCGTTAGCAGCTTGACCCCAGCTCTGAATTAAAACTAAATTTAGCGGCTGCAGTTTGTCATCAAGAAATATGATACGTACCTCAGGGTATGAGTGGACAGTTCCGAAGTCGAGGGTCTCGATTTCCAAGTTCGATGTGAAGTTAATCCCGACACCAGGTGCTGACAAACACGATCTCAGACAATTAAATCATACGTGTTTGCGTGGAAATCATATACCGTAAGGGTACGTCGGAGGGTTCGCTAGCTCGAACCAACCCTCATCACCCATAGCGACCAGATGGTTAGAGTCAATAGACTTGATAAACTTGCTGATAGTCGTTGCCCAAGATTTGATCGTCGAGCCTGTCGTATCGCACGCAGCGGATGCACTGCCTGTGGAACCCGAGCTACGAAGCACATGTTCAAGTTAGCGACTAACATAAAATAAATCGACGCCCCAGCCGGACTCGCAGATGGACTCACCAGCGCGGCTCATTGGCCAACTCCCAGGCCATAATCGTCGACTCATCCTTGTACCGTCCAACGAACTCCGTAATGTAATTCTCATACGCAGCAATGACTTTCTGGTTCGTGTAGAACGTATCATGTGTTCCTCCGGGGTTGAGCTGGTTCACGTAGACGTCCATACCACCATAGTCTGACCAGTTATTCGTCAGCGCGACGATGAGTCGGATACCATGGGCCTTGGCAGATGCAACGACAGAGTCGAAGCGTGAGATACCGTTGGCACCAGTGTTGAACGTCGCAATACCATTCTGCCATAGCTGGTAGTATGCGCCAAAGTTTTGTGAGGAAGTTACATCATTGAAACCCCTGGCGAACGAAGAAAAAGGGTTTAAGCACATCTTCATAAAATAATAACGCTGACAACGCCAAAAATAACTTACCAAGTGCGCACAGTAGTCAATCCAGCAGCAGCAATATCATTAAATGCAGTATCGATATCCTCATCGCTAACTTGTGCCAACCAATACGCATTCGTCCCTGCAACGATATAGTCTTCTCCATTCAGGGTAAACTTTTGTCCGGAAGTTTTGACGAAGCCTGTCACGGTGGGTGTAGACGCTGGAGCTGAAGCTGACGTCGAGGTAGGTGGAACAACTGTCGAAGACCGTGATGAAGTGGTGGATACTGGGAGGGAAGGGGAGGAGCTGCTGCTTGCTGCTCCTGGAAGACATTCTGTGAAGGTGGAGAGGAAAGGGAGGTCGATCAATATTTCTCTTTCTTTTTATACGTAGGTGAGGAAGACGAACGGGAGTAGTAAGGGTTTTGCACCGTACAGACAGTCCCAGAAACGCAAGTCGTTGCGCCGGACCAACCAATGCCCTGATAATGGTCAATCTTCATGCACAAAACTGATGTTAATCAAGCCCAGGTGATTAATACTTACTCCACATTGGCCCCATTCCGGAGCCTGAGCAGCGACGAAAGGTACAGCGGCTAATGCGGACAAAAGACCAGCACGTCTCATTTTTTCTCTTTGCCGACGACAGAGACCTTGCAGTGGGGTAGGGAGAAATAAGCTCGCCCACACATCTTTTCTCGGACGCAGTTTTATGCTTGAGCAATACGAGCAATACGGCTTCGCGGAACCGTCATACAGCACACCGGTCCCGTGAGCTAGCTGCGGAGGCGTAGTCGTTGTATACAGGCCAGCACACTCCAATGACTGAGGATTAAATCCGGGGCATGTTCGGATTGAATAGCGGAATAGTCTGAAATTGAGACGGATCTAAGGACCATCTTCGAATGTTCGCGTGCAATTGACTCGCTGGCACCGCAAACTGGAATGGCAGCCTGGAACGATGCTCACTGATTTAAAATAAATACGGAGTTAAAGAAGCGTAGTCACAAAGACGACTTAATGGAACTGACGACGCACGACGCACACAAGCAACCCAACTGACGAAGAGTTCCCAGCGGATCAGCGGAAAGCGAAGATCGGTCACGCGGTCAAAAGAAATATTACACCTACAAGAATACACCTAATAACCTCGGCAGGCCAGCAAAGCCCTCATATTCCAAACAGCGAGAAATGAAGGGGTATGAAATTATAGATATGTCCGAGATAATACTTCAGGTCATTACATGAAGGAATACAGCGAAGTAGAAGGAGCGGAACACGGATGAATCGAGAAAGTGCAGCCGGGCCGGGCATGGTAAACAAGGATAGAAAAAGGATATTCGGGTAAAAACCGATGAGTAGCTACAGAAAAGTTTGACGTTGCAATAAAAATCAATGTAGACGGAAATCATGGTTGATACTGGGGAGGCGGGTGCGTCGGCGTAGGTAGTCTATCTTCAAACTGTTGTTGCTCAGTTTGCACTCGCGAATGCGTAGGCGTGTAATAAACGCTTGCATCACTGGCTTCTTGAACATGCGAACCAGCGGCGGGCGCGTTCGAGGCAAATGGAACAGGGTGTGGAGTCCCACTAGGCGAGCCGTAAACATGTGCAGCTTGACCTGATGCACTAACAGGAGATTGAGGGTGTGAGAACATGCCCTGTTGTTGGACATGTATAGGGGATTGGGGTTGGAAGGGAACGCCATATTGCATAGGTCCATGTATAGGCGAGTGGGGCCCTGATTGAGGTGGAGTGAAAGTATTCACAGGATACTGCTGCAATACCGGCGATGCAGTAGCAGGAACTCCGTATGCACTTGTTGCGACAGGTCCGGATGGTTGAGGTAGAATGGGTGATAAAGGCGTGGTTGGATATGTAGCTTGACGAACAGGAGAAGTCGGTGGACTATACGGATTATTGGTACGTGGAGCTGAACCAGGCGGAGGAGCTAACGGAGGAGGGAGCGGACTGCCTGTGGTGGTCTGTTGCTGCTGATGCTGCAAGGGGACCCTATTGAACGGATTGTTGGCTGACAACGGCACATTCGCAAAACCTCCTGAAAGCGGGGTGTGGGGTTGGATAGTAGGAAGCTTGTAGGCTTCACCACCTAATCCCTGACCTGCAGCGTCCCATCCAACACTATCAGTGCTCTCCTGTCGAAGCGGCGCTGGCGAGTGTATAGGCGATATGGTCTGAGAAGTCGTTGCAGTCGACGGGCCTAATCTGCCAGCAGGTGATCCATAGCGTTCTCCCGAAGTTGTGTATCCTCCCCCATCTTCAGTCCGGAACGTTGGTACACGGTTAACGCTAGTCGGCGTCGGACGGCGCGGTGCTGGTGCATGCAAACCATAATTGACATTCGGGTCTCCAGCAATTCCTGATGCCCTACCCTGGGAGTCCCATTGTTGGTAAGTTGTATCCTCCCCAGGATTAAGAGGTAGGTCAGAATCTGATTCTGCAGGATTGAAGACCGAGGAACCGCGGAAAGAATGGACGCGCTCAAGTTTTGCTTGCCTAATTTCCAAAAAGGATCGTCAGAATAGATTCATAAACAATCCGCCATATGAATGCGCTGCATAATAGTGCAGGCACGAAAAGGACTCTAAATACGTACCGAGCCTTACGCCGTTGATAAATCACATCGCCCTTAACTTCATCCATCTTCCTATACAAATACTTCATTGCTACAATCGTGATAATCGTAGTGACGGCAATCACAGAGTACGAGATTATCTTGTCGCGTGTCGACTCCGTTCCTGAAAACCGATGACAGTAATTAGCACAACCATCGTGCAGATACAGAGCAGCCAGTACCTGTTCCGCTTTCTTCAATAATAACACCGATGTACACCGTTACAAACTGCTTTGGTAAAGACAATGCAGCAGCCAGGGCGAAGACTAATATGTTCATTCCACAGGTTGAGAAAACGGCGGTCGTGACTAGATATCGTTAAGTAAGTTGTCTCGAGCCGCTTTAAAATAAGTCGTACAATGTCCAGGTATTGCACTGTATCTTGCAATCAATGCAATTTTAAACCCGCCCTCCCTGACGACCCTCGCCAGACAGGCATATTGAATATCTTTCTTCTCGAGCTTTTCACCTCGTGCTCGACAACAGTACTTGAATGCGCTGTATCACGTGACTTAGTAAGTGGTAATGGAAGCTAATCATTGAGACATACTAAAAGTTACCCATTTCTCCTAAGAAAGTGCCAAGAGCGGTGATTGCAAAGCCTAACCCCAAGCCCCACACGACACCGCATAAAATGGCTAAGATTTCGTGCCCAAATAGCTAACAAGACTTTAAAAATATGCAAATCGAAGCTAATATATGGTAACTCACTGGAGGAAATGATATAATGAAGAATATCGCTACAGGAATAAGCCAGCCGCCGGGTAACCTGTTTTAAGGAAACCGATCATTAGCTGTCATCGTCGACGGAGGTAAAAGGCAAATAGCCGCGCCAAGGGGCTTGTCGTGACACCATGTAGTGGCAGTGATCAGCGTGTTCACTGCCACGCGAAATGTTGTCGGAGTACAATGAAGTGAACTTACTTTTTGAGCTTGTTCGCTGTTGGTTGAAGCGCATGCACGATTTGACGGTCATAAACGCTGATGAGAATTGTGATAATCAGGATTATTCCGAAAATAACGTAGTACCCTATGAGAAAGTTAACAACAAGCGGGCTCCACAACGACGATATGCAACGCGACAACCGCGTTCTGCTACTCACAAAACCATTCCCGGCGGACCCAAAATCGCCAGTTCATCATCTTCTTCCAGTCAATAAATCCCTTCCTTTCCAACATCGCTTTTTCCGAGGGTGTGGGAGATGGTGTTCGCGACGTAAGAATATCAACTGTGATATCATTGTTTTTGTGCGTATTCGCATCCGTTTGAGAATTGTAAAAAGAGACATTGGACTTGTTGTGCACAGGGGGATACTCGCTGGTCAAGCATGGGCGTTCCGAACTCGCTTGAGGGCCACCATAAGTCGTTGCAACGCCGGCGTCGCCATGTCTTGCGACTCCGATGCCATAAGTGTTTGCCATATAATCTCTTCTTGAGTTCTGCCGAGTTGTGCAGCAAGATTACAACGACAAACGCCCGCGTTTGAGTGAAAGTGTCGGGAGTATAAAATGTGGACAAGGGAATGTTGTGTTGTGATGGATGTCGAGAGTTAAAGGCTGTTGCAAGCGGCACAGGCTTGCAATGGCCGCAGCGGCGTGACGCGCTCGGAGTGACATAGCTCCGTCACAGCCCTGATAAGCGTGAATTTTATTGGGCGCTCGCGTACTACTATTTCGGGGAGAATTATCACCGACCTCATCAGAGTCATCTCGCAGGTTTGCTGTTTTACTGTCTACAGCCTTTCAGTCGTTATCGAGAAGCACTTTTGAAACAGGGCTGCAGTCTTTACGTCTAGATACTAGCATCTTCATCTCTGACACGGAACCATCTCTGGCTTGCTGATCCCAAGATTCCCAACAGACAGACATCATACTTCTTGTTCTGCTCATCTGTTGCAAAACCTCTGATCTTGCCAAAACCTCTCACGAGAGGTGCTATCTAGGTTCACATCATGATACTAGCATGCCCAAGACGCCATGGAATCATGACTGCGGAGGCATCCTTGTATTCTGAATAGCTAATGTAGCCTTCCTGCTTCCGAATAAAGCTTATTCGCAAATGATCATCATAAAAGCTCACTAATCGCATCTGGCAGAACGCCTCAAAGGTCCACCGCCGTTCTTATTCAAATCTTTCGTCGCGAATGAGCTCCCTTACTTCGTGCCCATTCACGTCACCCAGCTCAGCCCGTCCCTCACCCACTCCCTTGCTAGACTGATATGTCTCAAGTGATGTCGAGCAAGACGTCGGCGGGAGAAATCGCCGGCGTCGTCATTGTCGTAGTCGTCTTCCTCGTCCTCGGAATTTTCGTCTGCGGCTGCGGTCCCATGCCTCAACCCGCAGAAATTGGTATCGCGCGAATGCGCGAGCGCAAAGAACGGCATCAGGCACGGTAAGCACTGCTTATACAACGTACATAAAACAATTTCGGTTATCTCACAAACGATCTGCAGGATGGCAGAAAGACGGCGCCAGCGTGAGATAGCTGAAGCAGAATTACCGTTACATCGGAGTCCATCTCAAACTCGTACTCGAGCAATCATGTTCGCTGACGACGCAGGCCGCGGTGTACAGCCAAAGAATCCTGAATCTCAAACCAGTGTGCCGCTGCCTCCGCCTCCAGCCGCGCGTATCCGTCCACCCACGCCTCCAGCACCAGCTCCTCCGGGAATTTCCGAAGACGACAATGCCTCGATACACTCGAGCAGCTCCAGCTCCTTTTCATCACATTCGGAAAAGCAGAGCCTAGAAGATGACGAGAAAGCAGATGGCAGCGACAGTCGACCGGACGACAAGACTGCTTCGGCTTCTACCCTGATCCCCGACAAAGATGGCGCCTCATCACCAATCTCTGTTCCACCTCCTGTGTACTCTGATACGACGAAGAAGGAGTAGCCTTGACTCTTGTACAGACGCTTGCATGCTCTTCTTGATCCTTGACTGCTTCACTCACACCTATCTTACTGCATTCGTCGAGACTCTATAATAATCATCCGTGATATTATTATTCATACATTCATACAATCAATCTGCCGAATCGAATTTGATCAAAAGTCTTTGCTCATTGCTGGAAAGTTCCGCAAATTTGTTCGCATTGTCATCTGACGTTGCTAAATTACGGAAGCGTGCTGATTTGCTCATTCAACAACGCAAGGATGCATCAAGACTCTCCTATTTTCAAATAACAGCGCTATATGCATGCGGTGATTACGGACAATGCATCAAATCATATCCCTTTATAGCAAATAGGTGAGCTCAATATCCATCTCAAGCGCTGATTATAGTCTGATACTTAGCTTTCCTCACCGACACGGATCTTGTTATTTGACGACGACATAGCAACCACGAAATATGAATATCGCGAGTATATACATGGTATTACTCTGTCCAATAACTGGTTGGATTTCACAACAAAGTAACGAGTCGCTATGGTCCCAAGTCCGCAAGCGATAGGCGCCTCACTCGTTCTTTCTGCCCCGATGTATCGTGAAAGGATGGAAACCATCGAGAGTCATTATATATAAGTCAGTAGACCACCAGGCCTGCTGTGATTTCTTTCCCCTGATGAGGCTTGTTTGGACGTTACACTTTCATTCGATCATTTTCTCAATATTTTCCAACTTTCGCTCCTATTCACCTGTATATAATGCGTACTTTGCAGATTCTTGGTCCTCTCTTTGTCCTCGTTCATGATGTTTTCGTAAGCACTGCCTTCGGAGTCTCACTTGAAGAGCATGTGTATGCCCTAGATCCGAGGATACAGTTCAATCCTCCATTAACCGACAACAATGTCTGGAGAGTCATGACCGTTCCATCTCCAGACACTGGGAATCTCACGACTAAAATCGAGACGGTCAGTAACGATGCAGTTGCATCGTTTACATTTCAAGGTATGTCCGTTAGTACCCAACTTTCTGGAATTGACGTGACTGAAGGACAAGTCCGTTTCAAGGATCAACCATAGCATTACACGGCCTTTCAATCCCAAAATATTCTGGGTTATACTTCACTCTCGACGAGAACACATCCTTTACAGAGTCACTCCTTGATTTGAGTAACGCGGACGATACCTTGATGTTCCCGATTGCTACCGATCTGGATCCAACCATCAATCATACTCTCTTAATCCAGAAACTGCCGGGCTCTGCTGACGACGAACCGTGGAATTTGGTCTGCTTCCAGTGACTTTTCCCACCTTACCATCCGTGAAATCAAATACTGACCTGGTTTCAGCTTTCAGTCTGTGGATGCTGCCACACCTACCGCTCTACCTAGCTATATCCTTGCTAGCACTGTATCTGCCTCCTCGACACCAACGACTGCACAACCGAGTCCGGGGTCTTCATCACAACACAAGAGCCACCATCGTCATATTCGAGTTATAGTTGGAGCCGTCCTAGGAGCAGTTTTAGGGGCCTGCTTCGTCGTCGCTACCATCATTATGATCCGCCTCTGTAGACGTCGTCTTCGCCGTCTCGATCCATCCCACACCACTCCAAGTCCTTACGTTATCCCCACCGAGCAACGCCGATCACATCGCCTTGTAAATTTCAGATGGATTCAAATCAAATCTCGGCCATTCAGTAGTGGGCGGGAGTCTAATAACGCTACGATAGGCAGTGGTGAAGACAGAATTAGATCTAACCGGAATACCTTCGTGCGTATGGACGGTAGTGGATCACGAGCAATAATGAGCAGTCGGAGTCATACGTCGCAAATTTCGCAAACTGGAATTGCCATCCTCTCTGGAGACCCGTTCGGAGACTCAGGTAGCCGACAAAATTTTACTTCTTCGAAATAACCTTTGACGGATATGATCCATATAAAGATATAGAAAATAGTAGTCCAGACCAAGACGGTTCCCGAATAGAGGACCAAGAAATGCCATTATCGCGAAATTCGACCTTGCCTTCAATACCCCCTAGTTATTGTACAGTGGAATCGGTACGCGTAATTTGCATTCAAAATGAACGTGCCACTTAGTCGAAATACCTTAAGCAGGTTTAAATTTAGGAATTGTTGTTTCCCTTCTTTTTATTTTCGGACATCTTCTTTTGACCTTGTGACGGACTTCTCGGACTCGTTGGGAGTAGTATACATACCTGTATTTTCTAGGACAATATCGGGACTATGATTTCGGACTAAAATTCTCGGACATGTATATCATACATCTCCACGTATAATAATATCTCTAGTCATGTAAATTACCGTTCGAGCATATAAGAGCACATTGGGATTTACAGTTACCACATACTCTCTGCCAGGATACGACTACATTTCCGACCAGACTGATGGCGGTGACACATAAAAATGTGAGTCAAATTAGGCAATTGCAATGGACTGATTGACTTTTTTCATGTTCCTTCCTTGTATCTTGCAAAGTTCGGTTCCGAGTCCACCGAACACAAGCGGGCGTATACAGTGTTGTGATCCCCCAGGGACAGAAGGGATCCCATTCCCGTTTCCAGCCATCAATCCCTAGTGGATTGATTGTGAAGGGAATGAACCCAGCAGAATTCTATTCAGAATCCCAGTTAAGCTGCTATATATGGCAATAAAATTATCAAATCCAAAGAGGCATCAGCTCACAATGAGTGTGAGAAGAAATAAATTATGTCATTCGTATCACTATGTTTACAAATTTTTTCCCTCCCGTCTGATCGTTCCTATTTATTGTATCCACCAAGGATTGAAGGGATCCTGCGTGGGATCCCGGGGGATGCACAACACTGTAATGCAGTCTTCGACTCTGTCGGCCACTTCAGGACTCTGAAAACGTCACAGCGTGGACTGTAGCTTGTGCACTGTGTTTTCTGGGTCATTCTTGATGCATATTTGCCTGAACAACTTAGGGCCATTGCAAAGAAATCTATTCAATCCACTACAGTATGTGAAACAGTGAACCACGTCGTCATTTGAGCTGGACACAAGCCGGCAATGTGCAACAGTGGTTTGTGTTTTGGCCGTCATGTTCTATTCGCTGCTGCAGCACAATATGGTTGAATAAATAGGTCAAAGGACGCCTAGGTGCACCTGAGCACATTTGACCCAGTAAGCATCAGTCCTTCCTCTCCGTCAGTATATTAAGGACAGCTCTGACCAGATTTTCTTCATTTAAATTCAATGACATTCGTAGTCATTTAGAATCTACAGTCATATTTATAGTCTGGACGCAGCCAGCAGTTGTTTTCCCGCGCTTTTCGGCCTTTCGAGGTACCTGAAATTACGGATATTAAGGAGATGTGCTGAGTCTCTCAAGTATCGCCATCCCGTTATGAAGGGGAAGATGCCGATCCAAGAGCCAAGTGAGAAGACCCACGCGATCAGGACCTGAATCCCGACGACCGTGCAACGATGAATATATGAGACGGACGCACGATTGCGTCGTACTTTCCATTTCTTAATCTGATACAGTCAGTCAGACTTGTCAGCGTCGGACAAGTCTCCGAGTTCTTCTCAGTCCAACACGTAGCATTTGTTTCAGCATCTTTTTATGACAATCCATATGGAAGCTACGTGTAATTCAAAGCAATAAGAAATTGCTAGCATTGGACTGGAGAGACTCAGACATGCGATGTGACAGGGAAACACGAGGCTAGCAGGTGTTCAGACCGGTCCTCATTTCTGCTGCCAGCCATCTGTTCCGTCAATTCAATTCAATCCCTTTCATCATATCCCTCGTTATTTCCTCCCGTGCCTTACTTGTCTAATTTATTCCACCCGCTCTTCTCGCGAAGAAGCGGAATCTATGGCCATTAGCCAACACGAAGGCACGCAAATTCCTCCCAACTATTTAAGGCCTCTCGCATTACCGGATTTCTTCTCTTCTGGCCAACCATGCTGCCGGTAACGCCACTAGCTGTAGCTGCGCTCTCGTCTGTACCTATCGTCTATGCGTTACCTGGATTGAATGCACGTAATGACTCGACTCTCAGCAACCAGACGAGTCTTTACGAGTCCATTGCACACTTAGCCGACCCTGTCATGGGAGTCATGCTTGGTTCCATTCGTACAAGGCAAGTTACCCATTTTGAGTCACTAGTTATCCAACTGACCGATTCTACTAGTTGGGAACAGGGTACAGCAGCTGCGGCCGTGTTAGAGATCGAAAATCCAGAGTACTCTGTTTTTGCAGAGGACCCATTCTCGAACAAGGGCCTTCCTGTTGGTGCAATACGTCTTGCATTGAGCGCTGCGGTGCGTCAAGGCCCGGACGGACGTCTCAGTCAAAATATCAATGATGGTCTGGACGGTGCCGCACTTGATGGGGCATCTGCGGGCCCCTACACCCTTCTTGGTACGTCAACTTACTGTCTACTATATACTGTTTCTGACACGGTGGGCGATCTGCAGGAGCAATGACGGAACCAAACAGAGCAACCTTCTTCCAGGATGCCAGTGACAAGCAACTAAACTACGTCAGTCCATTTGTTATTTTGGATGCGTGACATGATCATCTGACAAGACGCGCACCTAATAATAGCTCTTGAATATCGCCCCGAGGACTTCGACGGGTGCTATATCGATGCGCGACGACTCCCGCCAGTACTGGTATTTACTTTCTCTCTCTTCTACGTTCTCTTTGATGTTCCACGCTAACTCGATTGGCCAACAGGGATGACGGGGTCTATATGGGACCACCCTTCCTTGCGTACTACGGCGCAGTGACAGGGAATCAGAGCCTTCTTCAGATGGCGTATGACGATGTGAGATTATATCGCGATGCACTGTTAATCGATGGTCCAACAGGCAAGCTTTGGGCACATATATACAATGAAAGCGCAGGGGAATTCGCAGACGAGGGACTTTGGGCAAGTGGAAACGGGTGGGCAGCACTTGGCATGATACGCGTGCAGTCAACGATCATGAAGAGTCAGTTCAAGGATGACATGAGGGACCAAACGGACCAACTCCAAAGTTGGATAAAAGAGGTCTTGGACGGCACGTTTGCAGCAATCGTCAGTACACTTTTCCTTTTTCGTCATATTTGATAAGTTGCCTAATCTTGATCTGAATGGACAGCGCGATGACAACCTCGTTCCAAACTACATTGACTCTAACAACACCTTTGGAGATTGTGCTGCTTCTGCTGCACTTGCCTCTGTTGCATATCGTGCTGCTGTTATTGACTCCAAGACATTTGACTCGTATTACACTGACACGGCGAGCCAACTGGCAAAGGTATGTTTAGGCAGTGTTGATGAACTCGGTGTGATTTCGCCGTATGTGAACCCGCTAGTATGGGATCAGGTTGGCATCCTCTCTACAGAAGGCCAGGCTTTTAATCTTATGTTGATTGCGGCATTGCGTGATTGGCTTGCGGCGAACGGACAAAACGTTTCCCGTTAGATGCTAATTTATTTAATTTACTGCTCTTTTGGAGTCTCCTTGTATTGTTTCTTGCGGCACCTCTAATAGACTCCTTCACATACATTTCATCCTGTTTTCTGTGATGCTGTGTTTCCGTTCAAGATGGATTGTGTGAAACATTATTAATTGACTAGTTTCTGAACTTCGAGTTTGGTAAATGCTTGTATTATTATGTAATCGGTTTTTACACAACCTAAGTTACCTAACATTAAACACCAACCTCCACCGGTTCCGAGATTGACAGGTGACCTTGAAGCGAAGGTATGGGGCGCAATATCTATGCTTCAACGTTTTAGGCGCCTTTTATGTCGCCAATAGAAATGCATACAAAATTGAGACGAAGAATGGCACTGTGCTTCTTTACGATCCAGCGACGTATCGGCGTTCTTCTCGCGGAGTAACTTGGATACTTAAAGTATAAAATGTGCGATGAAGGGATTAATGCTTGCTGTATACTTCAGCCATGGGTCTCGGTATCTTGTCAGATTCTCACCTGGGGGAGAACGTCCCAGGTACGTGTCTTTGACAATGCAAATAATTGTTATGATAAATGAAACACCAATATCTCATAAACTTTGCAGGAACCTCATTACTCGATGACTTGCACAGTCGCAGTGCCCGACACATTGATCCTTCCGACCCAAACGTGAAACGTGGCAAGGACGGAATTATCCTTGTTCCACAACCTTCTGATTCCCCGAATGATCCATTAAACTGGCCGTTATGGCGCAAAGCAATGCTTATGGTCACGGTGACATATGGTGCTGGTGTTGTGGGTGCTTTTGGACCGATCCTTGGAGCAGGGCTTGTCCAAGTTGCTCAAGCCCTAAACACGACTAACGATGAGCTATCAAAGATCACGGGAGATACAGTTCTCGCAATCGGACTGGTTCTGATTCTGACTGCACCTGCCAGTGTCATATGGGGGCGAAGACCTTTATTCTTACTTGGGAATGCCTTCTTACTAGCAAGTGCAATCTGGAGTGCTCTGGCACAGGACCTAGGAAGCTTGACGGCGAGCCGTGTCATCGGTGGAATGGGTATGGCTCCAATCGAATGTCTTGTGGAAGCAACCATCTCGTCAGTTGGCTAAAAGCTCCGTTTGATGCCTTGGAAATTCTGATATTCCGCTCAGTGATATTTTTTTCGTCCATGAGAGAGGGAAGTGGATTGCTGTTTGGAGCGTGAGCCCGTTCTTTCCTTGCAATAAAATGCGTACGAATGAATATGTGACCCCAGTTCGCTCTTCTTGGTGGTATTTGCGGAGTGTACATTGTAAACGGATACCTTATACAAGATGTGTACGTACCATCGTCGCATGAGCATATCGCTTACTGAATAGAGCGCTGTAGATCGTGGCGGACATGTTTTGTCATTGAAGCTGCACTGGTACAGCTAATACTTCGTTTCAAAATGCTAATGAGGTCTAAATTATGAATCGACAGTGCGGCGTTCTGCTCATTCTTACATCCTTATTTGTTCCAGAAACAGCATACGTCCGTCGCTCTCGTGGTGAAGTGGTCCCAGTCGATGAGGTAAGCTCTAGTAAGAAAGTGGAGGGAGCGGAGCCGGAAGGCATTGCGAAGAAGACTTCCTCCGAAATGAACTATGGCAATGTTCACGAAGTACCCGATGCTGTTGATGACGTCGAAAGAATACCAAGCAAAGAAACACCAAAGACATTTTTGCAACTGATGAAGCCTTGGTCCCCTCATCGTTTTTCGAACGAGAACTTTTTCAAGATAGCTTTTCGTCCGTTTACCATCGCTCTTAGCCCAGTAGTGATGTGGGGTACGCTCGTTTATGGGATGACGAATGCTTGGTGTATGTCTTAAATCGAACTGATCATGTTTCAAATGTAGACTTACTGACACATTGTCTAATATTTTACAGTGGTTGCATTATCTGTATCCATCTCTCTTCTCTTCTCCGACCCACAGTTCGGATATGGATTCAATGCCGGGATAGTAGGACTGATTTCAGGAGTCGGACCGTTCATTGCTGCATTTATCGGTAATTTCCTCTCGGGTCCTCTGAGCGACTGGACGGTGACCTTTATGGCCCGACGGAATCATGGTATCTACGAACCTGAGTAAGTGTATACTCAAGTGATGTTTAAAGGCTCAATTGTTAGGGTGAGACAGTTGACTTTGCTTCCGTTAGATTCCGTCTGCTTGTGATGATCCCGATGTTCATAGCAACAACAATTGGTTGGTTTGGATGGGCAATTAGTGCACATCTCGAGCAGCTGTGGATTGGACCTGAAATATTTTACTCCTTAATCAATTTTGGACAAGCAGTTGCGTCGATCGCGTGAGTGCATCTATTTGGTATTCAAAATGTACACTAGCACTGAACAGAATAAATATGTTTGCTTTGCAGTGTGGTGTCCTATGTTGTCGATGCTCATCCTAATTATGCGCCTGAGGCATTTGCGGCAATCAAGTTGGTGGCTTAAGGAACATCTTTAACGACAAGCTAAACTTACGTTTATATAGCTGCCTAAAGAACATCTTCGCGTTCGGTGTGACATATTTCGTTACCCCATGGATTCTTAACCAAGGTCCGTCTTCCTCTCTAATTTTACTTACCCCCTTCACTTCCATGCCGACATCAACCCGCAGGCGTTCTCAAAACATTCTGTGTAATAGGTGGCATCAATGCCTGGGTTTGTCTGATGACTATACCAATGTATATTTGGGGGAAGCGAGCACGAAGTTGGGTGCATCGAACACCTTGGATGCTTGCATAAGTTCCGAGTAGCTTGTATTCTAAATTTTTATATGTTTGTGTTTGCTGGATATAATCATGGGGCCTGGGAAAAAAATTAAAGCTCTCCAAGTACAGGGCAATAGTACTAACAAGTGTAGAGAGAACCCTGCTTAAATAAACACACACACACATCAATATTGTGTGATTGCAATCATCGTCATTTGTTGGCAATGAAATTTCTAAGTCTAGGCAAGTTATTCAGAATTTGATCAACATTAAGAGTATATGTATTCACAACTTGCTACTCTACAATACAACTGTCAGAGTGTGCTTCAATATGTGGCACACTATCTGGATTGCCACACAGTAAAAATATAACTTGCCTATGGATTTTCCACTACCTTCTTTTGCAGCAAAATCGAGCAAGGAGCAAGATTTTAAGATGGGAGTGAAAGATTGGGAAAGCATAATAGGTGTACCTGTAGACTTCCAGCATTATTATGGAAGTAAGTTCCATACAAATGCTTAATGCACAGCCAATCATGGAAGACCTTGGCATGCCAAGTAGGCATCAGAAGGAGTCAGAGCTATTGAAAAACGCCACATTGTTCACAGTATGTGAAATGATGGATTTATTACTAAAGTCAACATCAAGCTCTGGTTGAGAACAATATTGCACTCTCCCATCCGAATTATCATTTCGTTCTTTGAGGCAAAAGGTATTCTTCATTTTTGTAGGGCAAGAGAGAAGTAATCAATCCTCACTAATTGTGTTTGTAATGATAGACGACTTGACAACTTGAAATATTGCTCAAGCCATTCTTGCACATTGACAATGAAACGCCACAGCACAGGTCCAACGTGCTTTTTAGATCACCTGGTGAAAATTGATGACTGTGAAATATCAGAAACATTGAGAAAAATAATACAACAATGTATGTAGTTGGATCCAATTATTCCAAACCACATCAGGAAAAAGTCAGATTTCTTGTAATTTCTTATAGACTTTGTAAAGTAACATATGTATTGTATATACATTATAAAGTAATTATAAGGCTTGTAATTGAATTGCAATGTTTAAATAAGACATATTAATGTATATAAAGACTACATAAGTACTAGGGATGAATAAAAAGCTATTACATGTATTATACTAACTTTATATAACAACCTAAAGTGTTATGCTTGTATTATATTTAAATTATAATCTTAAAGAAAGAGTTATACTTATAATATAATAATGTAATAATTACTATTGTTGCCTTATAATTTATACAAAAGGTATATTAATGTATATCATACTTAGATTATTTATACAAGTGTAAAGGCTGGAGCCTCACTCAAGAACACAGAACAGGCAAAGACCTGGGATTGGAGAGGTTGACCTAAGTACAGGAGCAAGTATGAAGATAATCTCTAAGTGTCTACAAATAGCCCTTTATATAAGGTAAGGAAAGTATAAACTCGACATAGTATGTCACATCAGTCACAGCACAGCCACTTCCCCATTAGGAAGGACCCTGATGGCAAAAATCGAGCGGTGGACATTGACATTTTTTTTAGCACTTGTAAATACAAAAAAAAATATAGATTATGGTTTTACAGCTCAGCCAGAATACTAGCTGGAAGGATTCTATGGCCATAGTATTTCTTATTTGCCCATTAAGCCTGTGCTCCTGTCAACCCCTTTCTATATACATCCATAAACTGAGCAGACTAGTTA